TTGAGACAAAGCCATTTGGCTGTTCTTCTTTACTACCCCGTGCGCTGGAAGACTCGAAGCTACCTGGAAGCTCTGATTCTAAAACTCCCTTGTGACAATCTGGGATTCCTCGCCTTTCTGGGAGCAGTTTCACCCCTAGGCCGTCCAGGAAAGCTCAAGCCTGGAAAGCCATTTCAAATTTCCCACAACATGACACAGCAGCCACGGCGACTGTCGCAGCAACTGTCTTATAATACACATAAACCTAGTATAAAGATAATATATTGCCCGGACAAAAAGAGCCAAGATCTTACCTGCATTTGTCACTTCGGTGCGTTACGGCTAAAAGTGCCCACGTTGAAATACTCAAGCGCGCAACACCCTACAACTAATACAACCCTATTCAATGAAGATTTACTAGAATGCATTGGTTGCCGTGGCTGTGGCACGGTCAGCTCTTTGGATGTTTGAAAAAACTCAACGTTTACATTCAAACGATTTCAAAGGTCAGAATTCTTCGTTCGACTGCAAAGCGAGCCTCAAATGGCCAGAGCTGGCCACGAAGCGTGCAGGCGTGATGCTTTGCAGCCGTGCAGCCTGCACCACACTGAGAAAACGCATTGAAATGGTTGGTTCCAATTGGTTCCAATTGGTTCCAATTGGTTATTGGCCATGGGGCGATTGTTACCGATCTAAACAGGGTATTGGAAGGCAAGGAAAAGCGCACATAAAATATTGTGGCATGCTGACAAGGCGCAGACAACTGTTCTCTGTTCTCTGTACTATAGATCACTATCGCGCGAAACACTGTCTAAGTCTAATTCATCATATATTGAGCAAAATCAGCGTTCTTTCCAGCAACATGAAACAACATAAACCAACAGATTCATGGAAGTTGTCACAGCAAATGTTTAGACGTGTCTCTGCCATCTACCCTGTTGGCATTTTGTTCTTGGGATACCAAATCCCAAAAGCACATAAAAGTGTATCAAATAAGCTTAGCGCCCGTGCTTACTTAAATATTTTCTTGTATATTTATACCAGTAGTGCCGCACAAGGCGGTGGCGGAAGTTTCAGAAATAGGAAACCTATAGGAGAGGTTGGGTGTTGTGAGTCACGGATGGCAGAGCGAATCCACTGATGGACCGAAAGGTGGTTGGAGTTGTGTTTTTTTGGAATGGTTGCAATGGTTGCACTGGTCACCTGGTCGGTCACCTCACCCACAACTTCTGGATGTAGTGTGGTGTAGCGCAGCTGTATTTGTAGTTGTAGCGTAGTGGAGTTGTAGCTGCTGCGGTGTAGTGTAATTAGTGTAGTGTAGTTGCAGTTGCAATTGCTGTGGTGTAATGAACGTAGTGTAATGTCATGTAGGGTAGTGTAGTGTAGTGTAGTCTAGTGTAGCGTAAAGTAGCGTAGTTGTAGTTAATGTAGTGCAGTGGTGCGATGCGGTGTGGTGTGGTGTGGTGTGGTGCGGTGTGGTGTGGTGTAGTGCGGTGTGGTGTGGTGTAGTGTAGTGTAGCGTAGTGTAATGCAATTAGTGTAGTGTAATGTAGTTGTAGTTGTACTTGTAGTTGTAGTTGCAGTTGTAGTTGTAGTGTAGCGTAGTGTAATTGAGTGTAGTGCAGTGCTGTGTAGTGAAGTGGGGTGTAGTGTAGTGTGATTAGTGTAGTGTAATGTAGTGCAGTTGTAGTTGTAGTTGTAGTTGTAGTTAGTGTAGCGTAGTGTAATTGAATGTAGTGTGGTGTAGTGTAGTGTGGTGTAGTGTAGTGTAGTGTAGTGTAGTGTGGTGTGGTGTAGTGTAGTGTAGTGTAGCGGAGTGGAGTGGAGTGGAGTCGAGTGGAGTGTAGTGTAGTGTAGTTTAGCGTAATGTAATGAGTGTAGTGTAGTGTAATGTAGTTGTAACTGTAACTGTAGTTGTAGTGCAGTGTAGTGGTTGTAGTTGAAACTGCTACAAAGCCCTCACGTTTTGCTCACTTTTGACCAGGTGAAGACTCCCTTGTGCCTGCCACGCAAAACAACATCCGAACGTCCAAAAGTGCTCCGTACCCCTTCGCGACACAACGGCGTGCACTTTTTCGACATGTCAACTTCCAAAAGTGGTCCGAGACCGTCAGTTTTAACACTTTTGACTTTAACATGCGCTTCGCGCCAGAACGGCGTGCACTTTTTCGACATGTCAACTTCCAAACGTGGTCCGAGCATGGTGTGCTTTGCACATTTTCACTTCGAAATGTGCTTCGCGCCACAACGGCGTGCACTTTTTCATCATCTCAACTTCCAAAAGTGCTCCGAACGTGAGGTGTTTTAGCTTTTGCAAACGTGCTTCACGCCACAACGGCGTGCAATTGTTCATCTCTCATCTGGCCAGATTGCTCCGCACCCGCCGCTTTAGCGAGCCTACTTTTCGACCCCCCGGAGCCACAAATCAGTGGAAAAACACAATGTTTCGCGACTTTCCGACCTTTTCGCGCACCTGGATCTTCTTTCTTCTGACTGTGTCTTCTCCTATCCTCCTTCTTCTCTTCTCTTCTCTTCTCTTACTCTTTCCATCTCTGCTTTTCATCTGTCCATTTTGTCGGAAGTTTGACTTCTAAACTTCCTTCGATGAAGCAAGATGTGTGCCCTCCGGGCCTGTGGTAAGTGTTCCTTCAGCTCGAACAAGCTTGCTTGGTCCCCTGTCACAGGAGGAATCCCAGCCACAAGACTGTCTGAGGCATCTCAGCATGGAAAAAACCGGCACATCAAAGACACCCAGAGAGGTGCCTGCACCCTCGCGGACCACCAGTTGTAGCTGTGCTTTCTCCTGCAGGTGTTCAACAATCCAGAGTGAAATTGCATCCCATGCTGTGATCAGCTACTAGTAGCCAAAGCTCAGCAGAAGCACACCTTTTACTGTTTAGGAAGCTCAGTATATGGGGCACCTGTATTCTTGAATCACACGCGCGTTGGAGTTGGTTGACACCACCCAGTTGCCGGAGACTCGAAACTTACACGTGTTTGCCAAACAAAAGAGACCTTTCAAGAAAAATAGCTATCAACCGATGTTAGTTCAAAAGTGTTCATGCTTCATGTATTCACGCAATGCATTTTCTGGCTCCAATGTCCTGTTGGAGCATTGCGCCAATTGCGCTGTGTACCATCCCAAGCTTGCCTCCGATACAAACAAGTTGAGGTCGTTCAAAGAGGTGCCGCCGGGTACCCTTAACCGCACCTTGGGACAGCAGCGCTGAAAAAATCTTTGTCTCTGGACGTCTCTGGATGTCTTTTTTGTTTGTTGGAAACTTGAAGATACCGACACTTGAGACGGAATGCGAGAAGCAATTGGGCTTCAATCCGGGAACGAACCATTCTTCAGACATCAGTTAGAGACTTTCAACGAGAGCAGCAAGGTTCTGCATGTTTTGGCACGCAACAACATTCGCCAGCCAGAAATTCATTGCCTCAGTTTGTAAATAATACTCGCATGATCTCCCATGCAGGTCTGTCAGCCCAAAAATCAGACGGTTTCCCTCTTGCCTGCAGCCAGCCTTTTGTGTCTTGGGACGCCTGCTGTGCAGTGCAAAGAAAATGGTTGCTTCTGAGGATTCGAATCTTAAATGACAGGTTTAGAAAGTCAAACTAATTGCGGTTGTCAAAACAAGTGGAAGCCTCAGAGGCAAAATCATCATAGTTTGGGCTCCACGGTATCTACCGGGCTGAGGCAAATATTGGAGAGTGTTTGAGAGTTATGAGATTGGCATGATGTAGCATACACATGCATACGCATGCATGCGCAGCACAATCTTGTCATTGCACGGGTTAGGAGCGATGCAAATCGCATCATGCTCTCATGCTCAGCTCAGCAGGCCTTTGCGACACGGTGCCGTTGTCCCGATCTCTCTGCTAGTAATTGCACCTCAAGGCTGTGCTGCCACGGAGGGTCATAGGTAATTCAGATTGTTCTCCTGCCATTCAGAACAGAATTTGAAAAGAAACAAAAAGGTCAAGTTCGCAAAGGTTGGTGATCGGTGGGATGCATGGAATTCATGTCATGAAAATTCCCCACAGGGTCAAGCAGTTCAAAACCAATCTTGATCAAAACAAACAACAAATGCATGAAATGTCATCATGATGGGGGAACATTCGCATTTCACGCAAATAGCATGAGAAAAAAGAAAGTCCCTAGGCCCTAGGTACAGTCCCGAAAGCAACAACACTTCTTGAACAGGACCAGAAGCTATTTCGGTGATCGCTATATACAGGAAACCGTCCAAATGTCCACAAGTCTTGGGCATATGCTATGGTCAGAACACGGTGTATGGCAGTCTACGGGGTATGTTCATCCCACCAGCATGAACAGGATTCCGTGTACAGCAATGGCTATGCAGCTATATCAAACGCGCATTACCCCCTACTAATGGGGGGATGGCCATCCCCTTCTGTTTTGACCATGACACATATGTTACCTGTCTTCAGAAGGTCCACACACACACAAGCTGCAATGGAACCAAAGTTAAGCAGGTTGTCCTTGTCCCTTTCATTCGTTTTTGAAACTAGTTCTTACCTGTCCACTCTGCTACGTCTTCTCGGACATGAGTTGTACAGGCACACAATTTTATGTATATTTTGTCTGTACAAGTTATTATAAGGGGGCGCTTGCTTTGTCTTACCGCTGTGCTGTTCATGGGCCCAATGGACGTGGGAACATTGTGATAGGAACCTGAGCTGTTTTTGGACGGAAACATCGCTGAGCACCCCAACTTTGGCAAGAGAGGGCCTGCGCAAGCTTCAACGGACTGTTGCATGGCGTTAAGAACAAAAACTCTCCACACGACATGTCAAAGATCATCACTCGACCCTCACATGGAGTTGTCAGTGAAACATTTGTGACAGGCAAGCTTGTAGGGATGAAGAAAATCTGGCACGTCGGAAGCACTCCATTCCAAAGTTAGCCACAAAGGCAAGACATATTTGTAGAATGTTGATTGTTGTAAGTTGCATATAATTTTCAACTTCAGCCGACTTCTGCGCAAAACATCTCTGAAAACATCCATGGCCGTCCTGCTGTCTGACTCAGATGGCGCGTCAGGTGCCTTCAACACATTTGGGATTGTGACTCAGACTGGCGGAGAGACTTCAGAAACTGCTCTGAAAAGAACTTTGAAGCTCTTGATCTCCGTCGAAGTGCAGATTTCCATTTGTAAGAGCAAAGCCAAACATAGCCACCGAAATATACCCACATAATCCCACATAGATATTCAATAGGACTTCTCAATGGCGAAGTCTAGAATTTCATGAAAATGTGTTGTGATATTGCCAAAGCTTCACAACACAGAAAATGGCTTGGCTGCTTGGAACGCTCAAGTTTGCTGGCACCAACAACATCCAGTCTCACGATGTCTCACGTAGATTCCGGACATGGTGGCCCCAAACGAACACAAAACACCTTGACGGTACCACGGACACAACCTGCACGTTACCATGTCATACCATCTTTCTGCATCTAGAATTCAGACTCCCAACTGAGACTTCCAAGTGTCAACCACGAGGGCCTCAAGGCTTCTGAGCACAACCTCAAGATCAGCGATGGTACAAAACTGATCCCTCGCAAAGCGTACAAAGTCATCGTTTCCAGTGGTTGAGCGGACAAAGAACCCACAAACTGCGTTTTGGAGCCAAGTTGCCAAGACAGCAGTCATGTTGTCGCCACCCAAGCCACCAGTCTCACGAAGATCTGGAGAGACCTGTCAGATTGGGATTGAGTTCTTCAAGCGAGGCATTGATGGTAGTTGAATGTATCATATTTTACAGTATCCTTTCTTGTCCTGTTTTGATGTTTGTTGGAGGTCAAGTTTCAGTCAATGGGTCAGGCTTCATCGCATCTGATCGCATCTGGGCTAGGAGTCTTTGACTCTGACAAATGCAATGTTGCAGTCTGTACTTAATAGACGTGGCAGAACAGTCAGCAAGTCAATCAGAGGCAGTTTTGCGCAAGCATCCAGAAGATCTTCAAGAACTTGCTCCAAGGCCTCTCCGTCCATTGCAATTCGGGTTATTAACGAAAAAAAACGCAACGGAACATCTGCTCCATCATAATCCTATACAGAAGCCATCTGCCCAACAAATCGTAAAGCATCCATTGCAATCTCCTGGCAAAGTACTGTTCTGAAAAATATCCCAAGTTTGCTGCGCAGAACACAAAGTTTGGGGGGGGTACATTTTGAGCTTCCCGTGCTGTCGTCATTTAACAGGACAGCGTCACCCTCTCGTCTGAACGTGAAGGCAACCGATGGCGGATGAAATCAACAACCTGCAACAAAACAATACAGCCACAAAAGTATATGGCGTTCTTCGTCGCAGCAAAGTTTCTGTACGAAAAATAAATGGAACATGTTTTTGTTTGTGGGATTGCATTGATCTTTTCCCCGATTCTGTCCACGAACCATTGCTCAAAGTGCAAGAATGTGCGAAATAGATAGATAGATAGATAGATAGATAGATAGATAGATAGATAGACAGATAGATAGATAGGTAGGTAGGTAGATAGGTAGATAGATAGATAGATAGATAGATAGACCTGGATGGAGTTCACATTGGCATTTTCCAACCATTTTGCTGGAAAGACCCAAAGAACACATTGCATGTTCATACCTACATTCTCCAGTGCCTGCTGGTTGGTCTTCACGTCCCAAACCCCATCGCAACAAATGATCAGAAACCTGGCCAGCTTTGCAAATGCTTGCAAATGACATCCGCAAAAACCGAAAACATGCTTCGAAACCCATCTGTGTCTCTTCCAGTCATTGATGTGAAACAAAGTCGCATAACAAACGTCTCATTGTTGGGCCGCTGGAGGCGCAAGAAAATGTGCCCTTTCCATTTTGCATCTGTGTTTTGTGCCTCATGTAAGGCGCGCTGGCTCTAGGGTGCACAGTCAATAAAGACTGGCTCAAGTCAACGGTTTCCGCCAGGCAAAAGCAGACGACTTTAGAAGTCCAAACGACTTAAGACAAGGACCTACCGGGTTCTTCAAAAAAAACAGCCATCCCATGAAGTACCACACCAGAGAGGTCATGCCACCCCCCGTCCCCAATTCAATGTTGTCTTCTGAATTTGTGTTTGGCGGCCTTCAAAAAAAAACAGCCATTTCTGTTGATGATGCTCGGCACTTCCGATCACAACATTGAAGTTGGGGGTTGCGGGGGTAAGCAGGGTATCTCTGTGGTTTCCTGTGGATGGCTGTTTTTTTTGAAGAACCCGGTGAGTTTTTTTGGTTCCGAGTTCATTTTAACTGTTGTTAATATGCATGTGGATGTAGATCAGCACACATCCACACACATCGATGCGACAACATCAGCTTCTGAAATTTACGCATTGTCAAAGCATGCGCTTTGTAATCTGTGACAGCCCAATAAAGGTGGATGCTAAGGGCTAACCATCAGCTTATGAAATTTACCCAAGACGGTTGTCAAAACTTATTCTGTATAATATGCGACAACCCCACAAAGGTGGATGCTACGGGCCACCACGACAATGTAATATCCAAGGCGCTCAGCTTCCAAAGGCTCGCACCTGCCACCTACAACTCTTGCGCCTGCCACGCTGTTTTCTACTTCCCCACTTCACGGCTGCCAATGCAACGCACATGCAACACACATGCAACACACATGCAACACACATGCAACACCCATGCAACACGAGCATTTTCCCTGTAAATTTCCAAGCAAAGTGGCCGCGGGGGCAAAAATCTACACTTTCCATTCTAAGACCGGAGTTGGGGCTGCAAACGTCAAATCTTGCACGTTGACTGTAAATTTACAGGTAAAAAGCTCATGTTGCATGTCGTGTTGCATGTGTGTTGCATGTGTGTTGCATGTGTGTTGCATGTGCGTTGCATGGCAGGTGTGCAGGATAGAGCAGTCACGCTCTCAAAGTGGTGCGCCTTACACGCAGAACGACAGCCAGTGCACCCCACGACATTGCGGAATCAGGTCAAAAAGGTGTCAAGACTGTCGCTGCATGTATTTCACTTAGCACAACCCATATTAGCGCATATGCGACACCCACACACAAACACCCGCCCAAACTGATCCCGATGCTTTCTCTGACACAGTGTCGTCATCATTCTCGCGTTTGTCTGCAGCCATGGGTCCATCCTACTGTGTCTTTTCTGAGTCCGGGTTCTTCAAAAAAACAGCCATCCCATGAAGTACCACACCAGAGAGGTCATGCCACCCCCCGTCCCCCAATTCAATGTTGTCTTCTGAATTTTGTGTTTGGCGGCCTTCAAAAAAAACAGCCATTTCTGTTGATGATGCTCGGCACTTCCGATCACAACATTGAAGTTGGGGGTTGCGGGGGTAAGCAGGGTATCTCTGTGGTTTCCTGTGGATGGCTGTTTTTTTGAAGAACCCGGTGAGTTTTTTTTGGGTTCCGAGTTCATTTTAACTGTTGTTAATATGCATGTGGATGTAGATCAGCACACATCCACACACATCGATGCGACAACATCAGCTTCTGAAATTTACGCATTGTCAAAGCATGCGCTTTGTAATCTGTGACAGCCCAATAAAGGTGGATGCTAAGGGCTAACCATCAGCTTGTGAAATTTACCCAAGACGGTTGTCAAAACTTATTCTGTATAATATGCGACAATCCCACAAAGGTGGATGCTACGGGCCACCACGACAATGTAATATCCAAGGCGCTCAGCTTCCAAAGTCTCGCACCTGCCACCTACAACTCTTGCGCCTGCCACGCTGTTTTCTACTTCCCCACTTCACGGCTGCCAATGCAACGCACATGCAACACACATGCAACACACATGCAACACACATGCAACACACATGCAACACGAGCATTTTCCCTGTAAATTTCCAAGCAAAGTGGCCGCGGGGGCAAAAATCTACACTTTCCATTCTAAGACCGGAGTTGGGGCTGCAAACGTCAAATCTTGCACGTTGACTGTAAATTTACAGGTAAAAAGCTCATGTTGCATGTCGTGTTGCATGTGTGTTGCATGTGTGTTGCATGTGTGTTGCATGTGCGTTGCATGGCAGGTGTGCAGGATAGAGCAGTCACGCTCTCAAAGTGGTGCGCCTGCCACGCAGAACGACAGCCAGTGCACCCCACGACATTGCGGAATCAGGTCAAAAAGGTGTCAAGACTGTCGCTGCATGTATTTCACTTAGCACAACCCATATTAGCGCATATGCGACACCCACACACAAACACCCGCCCAAACTGATCCCGATGCTTTCTCTGACACAGTGTCGTCATCATTCTCGCGTTTGTCTGCAGCCATGGGTCCATCCTACTGTGTCTTTTCTGAGTCCGGGTTCTTCAAAAAAAACAGCCATCCCATGAAGTACCACACCACAGAGGTCATGCCCCCCCCGTCCCCCAATTCAATGTTGTCTTCTGAAGTTTGTGTTTGGCGGCCTTCAAAAAAAACAGCCATTTCTGTTGATGATGCTCGGCACTTCCGATCACAACATTGAAGTTGGGGGTTGCGGGGGTAAGCACAGTATCTCTGCGGTTTCAAGTGGATGGCTGTTTTTTTTGAAGAACCCGGTGAGGTTTTTTGGTTCCGAGTTCTTTGTTTGAACTGTTGTTTTAATTATTGCTTTGTGGATGTAGATTCAAGCACACATCCACACACATCGATGCGGGACAACAATTCAGCGCTGGAAAATTTACGCATTGTCCAAAGATTTGCGCTTTGCTAATCTGTGGCGACAGACCAATAAAGGTGGATGGCTAAAGGGCTAACCATCAGCTTGTGAAATTTACCCAAGACGGTTGTCAACACTTATTCTGTAATATATTATGCGACAAACCCCCACAAAGGTGGATGGTTGCTACCGGCCACCCCGACAATTGTAATATCAAGGCCTCAGCTTCCAAAGTCTCGCAACTGCCACCTTACACTCTGCGCTGCCACGCTGTTTTTACTCCCCAATTCAGGGCTTGCCAATGCAACACACATGCAACACACATGCAACACACATGCAACACACATGCAACACGAGCATTTTCCCTGTAAATTTCCAAGCAAAGTGGCCGCGGGGGCAAAAATCCACACTTTCCATTCTAAGACCGGAGTTGGGGCTGCAAACGTCAAATCTTGCACGTTGACTGTAAATTTACAGGTAAAAAGCTCATGTTGCATGTCGTGTTGCATGTGTGTTGCATGTGTGTTGCATGTGCGTTGCATGGCAGGTGTGCAGGATAGAGCAGTCACGCTCTCAAAGTGGCGCGCCTGCCACGCAGAACGACAGCCAGTGCACCCCACGACAGTGCGGAATCAGGTCAAAAAGGTGTCAAGACTGTCGCTGCATGTATTTCACTTAGCACAACCCATATTAGCGCATATGCGACACCCACACACAAACACCCGCCCAAACTGATCCCGATGCTTTCTCTGACACAGTGTCGTCATCATTCTCACGTTTGTCTGCAGCCATGGGTCCATCCTACTGTGTCTTTTCTGAGTCCGGGTTCTTCAAAAAAAACAGCCATCCCATGAAGTACCACACCACAGAGGTCATGCCCCCCCCGTCCCCCACTTCAATGTTGCCTTCTGAATTTTGTGTTTGGTGGCCTTCAAAAAAAACAGCCATTTCTGTTGATGATGCTCGGCACTTTCGATCACAACATTGAAGTTGGGGGTTGCGGGGGTAAGCAGGGTATCTCTGTGGTTTCCTGTGGATGGCTGTTTTTTTTGAAGAACCCGGTGAGTTTTTTTTTGGGTTCCGAGTTCATTTTAACTGTTGTTGATATGCATGTAGATGTAGATCAGCACACATACACACACATCGATGCGACAACATCAGCTTCTGAAATTTACGCATTGTCCAAGCATGCGCTTCTGTAATCTGTGACAGCCCAATAAAGGTGGCTGCTAAGGGCTAACCATGAGCTTGTGAAATTTACCGAAGATGGTTGTCAAAGCTTATTCCATATATATAATATGCGACAACCCCACAAAGGTGGATGCTACGGGCCACCACCACAATATAATATCCAAGGCGCTCAGCTTCCAAAGTCTCGCCCCTGCCACCTGCAACTCTTGCGCCTGCCACGCTGTTTTCTACTTCCCCACTTCACGGGTGTGATTTGTATGGGCCTGCCAATGCAACGCACATGCAACACACATGCAACACACATGCAACACACATGCAACACACATGCAACACACATGCAACACACATGCAACACGAGCATTTTCCCTGTAAATTTCCAAGCAAAGTGGCCGCGGGGGCAAAAATCTACACTTTCCATTCTAAGACCGGAGTTGGGGCTGCAAACGTCAAATCTTGCACGTTGACTGTAAATTTACAGGTAAAAAGCTCATGTTGCATGTCGTGTTGCATGTGTGTTGCATGTGTGTTGCATGTGTGTTGCATGTGCGTTGCATGGCAGGTGTGCAGGATAGAGCAGTCACGCTCTCAAAGTGGCGCGCCTGCCACGCAGAACGACAGCCAGTGCACCCCACGACATTGCGGAATCAGGGCAAAAAGGTGTCAAGACTGTCGCTGCATGTATTTCACTTAGCACAACCCATATTAGCACATATGCGCCCGCGCAAGCAAACAGACACACCCACACACAAACACCCGCCCAAACTGATCCCGATGCTTTCTCTGACACAGTGTCGTCATCATTCTCGCGTTTGTCTGCAGCCATGGGTCCATCCTACTGTGTCTTTTCTGAGTCCGGGTTCTTCAAAAAAAACAGCCATCCCATGAAGTACCACACCAGAGAGGTCATGGCACCCCCCGTCCCCCAATTCAATGTTGTCTTCTGAATTTTGTGTTTGGCGGCCTTCAAAAAAAACAGCCATTTCTGTTGATGATGCTCGGCACTTCCGATCACAACATTGAAGTTGGGGGTTGCGGGGGTAAGCAGGGTATCTCTGTGGTTTCCTGTGGATGGCTGTTTTTTTGAAGAACCCGGTGAGTTTTTTTTGGTTCCGAGTTCATTTTAACTGTTGTTAATATGCATGTGGATGTAGATCAGCACACATCCACACACATCGATGCGACAACATCAGCTTCTGAAATTTACGCATTGTCAAAGCATGCGCTTTGTAATCTGTGACAGCCCAATAAAGGTGGATGCTAAGGGCTAACCATCAGCTTGTGAAATTTACCCAAGACGGTTGTCAAAACTTATTCTGTATAATATGCGACAACCCCACAAAGGTGGATGCTACGGGCCACCACGACAATGTAATATCCAAGGCGCTCAGCTTCCAAAGTCTCGCGCCTGCCACCTACAACTCTTGCGCCTGCCACGCTGTTTTCTACTTCCCCACTTCACGGCTGCCAATGCAACGCACATGCAACACACATGCAACACACATGCAACACACATGCAACACACATGCAACACGAGCATTTTCCCTGTAAATTTCCAAGCAAAGTGGCCGCGGGGGCAAAAATCTACACTTTCCATTCTAAGACCGGAGTTGGGGCTGCAAACGTCAAATCTTGCACGTTGACTGTAAATTTACAGGTAAAAAGCTCATGTTGCATGTCGTGTTGCATGTGTGTTGCATGTGTGTTGCATGTGTGTTGCATGTGCGTTGCATGGCAGGTGTGCAGGATAGAGCAGTCACGCTCTCAAAGTGGTGCGCCTTACACGCAGAACGACAGCCAGTGCACCCCACGACATTGCGGAATCAGGTCAAAAAGGTGTCAAGACTGTCGCTGCATGTATTTCACTTAGCACAACCCATATTAGCGCATATGCGACACCCACACACAAACACCCGCCCAAACTGATCCCGATGCTTTCTCTGACACAGTGTCGTCATCATTCTCGCGTTTGTCTGCAGCCATGGGTCCATCCTACTGTGTCTTTTCTGAGTCCGGGTTCTTCAAAAAAAACAGCCATCCCATGAAGTACCACACCAGAGAGGTCATGCCACCCCCCGTCCCCCAATTCAATGTTGTCTTCTGAATTTTGTGTTTGGCGGCCTTCAAAAAAACAGCCATTTCTGTTGATGATGCTCGGCACTTCCGATCACAACATTGAAGTTGGGGGTTGCGGGGGTAAGCAGGGTATCTCTGTGGTTTCCTGTGGATGGCTGTTTTTTTTGAAGAACCCGGTAGTAACAAGGGAAAGAAGCAGCCGAAGCAAACATGCCAGGTAGGCTCGTCATTCTCGTGGTCTCTGTCCTGCAAACAGATGCAGCCAAATGGCATACAAAGCCCTGTCGATAACAAACATGCTAGTAACACTGACAATTGCCTGTTGAACAGTCAAATTGCAACTGGAAATGAGCTGCAAAAAGGTGGAAACATGTGGAAACGAACTAAAAGTACAAGTAACAACAAGAACCTCCTATCTCACCTAGTTTGTATACAATCGATTTGTAGCGGAGTCGAGCATCGAAGTGACTGCAACTGGCAACTTGGACGATGTCTGGGATGCTGATTAGATGGAACATCTTGAATATCTTTGAAAACAGAAAACCGTGCGTTTTTCCGGTCCCTGAAGGTCACATCTGGTGTGGAGCAAATAATCTGCTCTTCAGGAGGTCTGGAGGTGTCCTGGCCGATTCACCAGGTCGTCAAGCAACAAACGCGGAATTCCAAAGATTTGCAAGGATATCCAGGATATTCTATTATATTATATTATATTCTATTATTATCTATTTCTCTTTTTCCCCAGGGCAGTGCAAGTGCACACTCACCCTTTATCACTCTGAGCAACTGGACCAAGATTATCAGACTAACATCTGAAGGTTTCAAGTTCGCATTAAAGAGTTTCAGACGTTCCCTATTCATTCGCGAATGTCAACAAAAATGCATCGCCGTTCCTCGGCTTGTTGAAAACAAGGATCAGAAGACCTGAAATGGTTTCTCTCTTCGTGTCGGTGTATCGGTGATATACAGTACGCAAATGATATGGACACACACATGTTTTCATTCGTGTAAAACAGCAGTGTGCCACATGTGTATACATACATGCATATGCATATGTATATAATATACATATATATATACACATATACATGTAGGACGATATGTGTACATATCCATACTCGACTCTACTGGATGGTGTCCAAGGAGCCACTGCCGTCCTTCTTGTACTCTAGGTCTCCCAAAGCTCGAGACAAATTGAGGTTGCCATTGACTCGATATTGGTTTGGCCTTAGTCGAAGCAGAAAGGATGAACTTCAATGGATGATGAGCAAGGTGAAACGTTGCTCAACTTTCCGTCTCAATGTCCTTCGAAAACAAGGCCAATCTACAAAGAAAACCTAGATTCCACGTAATGGAGTAGAATGACAGTCACGGACAATGGAAAAAAAGCACCGGAAAGAATAATTATGGGACAACGCCTGCTTCTGATCGTTACATCTATTGTACCATTGGAAGTTTTTCCATCAACCGTCTCTTTTCGGCAAACAATAAATTCATGGGCAGCGGACGAACAAATAGAAAGCTTTGTCAGTGTCCCATAAAAATTGGAACCAACTAAAATCACTGAATAAGAATGAATAAGATACAAAAACATCTAGCACCACCCATGGACCTCATGATACTGTGAGCAGAGGTAGTGATCAGGGGTTTTGGTCAGACTTTGCGGAAGGCACGAAGGAGACATCAATAGACTGGAATCTGCATCTTCCTACAAACTGGTAGCTTTGCTCATATCTCTTCATGACATACATTCTTCACTCGGCACACTCAGTAAATACTCAGAGAATCACATACACAGTGCTTTGACGTTTTGGTAGCCAAAGCTCTACCAAAAAAAAAGATTATCATACACGAGCAAATCTCAAACCATGGCAGCGAAACGCGAAGCTACCTGCAATAGTTAGCGCAAGGACAGCGAGCGCACAAACAGCCCCGCACAAGCATTTGTACGCGCCTAGAAGTGTGATTCCAGTGGCCGATTGGCCGATCATAGGTCAAAAACAGATTTGGGAAACTTTGCAGTTCTGTCAAATCCTGGCTCAATTTTCCTGTGCCTTCCTGTGTGTAAAGTATCTTGAAATATCTCGTTATCATGGGATCTACTGTCTAATCTTATTCAATGTCAATGCATTTCCGACATTTTCCGACCCTGAGTGCCAGGCCCACTGTTCTCAACCCACCCGCCAGCAGCTTCAATTCGTTGCTTTTCCCTTGGCGCATTGGGCTTGTGATCCTGCAGAGCGAAGCAAACCATGCTTTTCAGAGTGGAACATCCTGGAACATTACCAAATTTACGAAATGAGACAGGAAGAGACATATTTAGTGTTCAACGCAACCATCAAGGCATGGTTTTCTTCTTCAAAAATGGTCCGTTGAATCTCCAAGTCCAAGATCTTCTATCCTTGTTCAAAGTAGTCACAGTGCTTGGAATTTTGGTTTACGTTCTGGAAAATGTAGGGCCCACCAAAATGTCCTCGCTCAAAGCGACGGCCTTGCCAGCGCTACACAGCACTGCCCGACTGGCGTGATTCGCTCGGAGGGACAAGACAAAGGATTGAGCAGGTGACGGGTTGCGAATGTTGATTAAGAATTGCAATCAGAACAGGAGTGTGCTCACATTGCCATCAGCAGTTTGCACAGCCCTGCCTGTCTCCAGCGTTTGCCGTGACAATTTGCGTGCTGGTCACACAGCAAACGCAGGCAGTGCATCCCACCATGGTAGCATCACCATTCCGGGGTGACGGTGCGATCTCAGTGGCGTGAATGTGCAGAATGAGGATCACTGAAAGACTTGAAATCTATCCAAATGACGCAGATAAATTCAGATAGCTCATAGCAGCATAGCATTCGTTCCCCAAAGGTCTTTCTTCAACAGTCACAAGCCTGCGTCTCTTTCGTCCTGAATTCAAAACGAGTTGCCCCAAAAGGGCTAGAACTCCTTGTATCTTCCATGACCCCCAAATATCCACGATATCAAACATATGACAAAGATCAGACATCAAGCGGACAGTTTCTTCAGAACTTTGGCTGTCGAGCCCTGTCTCGCGGTTGGTTGGTCAAGGAGGAAACCTCCGCAGCAAAGTGACCTCAACAAATCAAGGGCAACTTGGGCGAATTTTTCACGGCAGGGATTGGAGCCACATTGGAATCATTGGAACCAGCAAAACTATGCAAAACTCCTCAGAGTCAAATTCCGTTTTACACAAAAGTCTAGGAAGCCTTCATGCAGAGTGTCAAGGGCAGATCTGTTGCGCAACTTACCCACATATTCCTGTAGGCCTGAAGCTACTGCCAAGCCACCACTTCTTAAGAGGTCGTCAATCTTGTGGAATGCACCTGCAAAGTCACCAATCATCCGAGATGCTTTTACCAAAACAGGTGAATTTTTGACCCTGAAGACAAAGTCGTATTCAGCCTACCAGTAAATGTGAGCTTCTTTCCATGTACAATGTCAGTATTCATCACAAACCATCATGGCATTCCAGTTAATGTTTGTCCCGCCTCAAGCATCATGCCTCTAAAAATGTCTAAAAGACTCTAAAACAAATCTTGGCTTTTGCTTGCCCCGCCGTGAATCCAGCTGATAGCGCCAACGGAGAGCACTTGGCTACCCGCCTCTGAGAGCCTTCTCCATCTGTTCATTCTGTTTGTGGATGCTTGCAGCAGCTCCACTGTCCAAGGGAAACTTGCGCAGCTCCTCGACGACATGAAAGCTTCCAAGCTTCCCGGTCGCGTTCAAAGGAAACACACCGAAACCCTTCTGAGAAAGGACAAACTGCTCTCAAACTGAAATCGTTTTGCGAAGATCAGGATGCCAGGCCCACCTGTGCCACCTGTGGTAGTCTCTTTTAAAGGGAAAATCCCGAGAGTAATTCGTTCAAAAGATTTCTTTAGAAAAGATGACCTGGGATTCTCCTCCGGCAAATGGTCACTGCTGAACCTGGCGACCTGACTGCAGAAGAGGCTTCAGTTGTGCTTTGCAGAATTGGTCAATTGTCCCATCTACCTACACAAACCACTGCACTGGGCTTACATAATTCAGAAGTCAGATCAACGGACGGCTTTCTGAGATCTTTCGGTATCTGTTATGAGTTCAGTCTCCAAAGTGCCTGTAATTTGCCTCAAGCCAATGTACAGGTTTAACATTTCCACCAAAAAAAAAATAAGCCCAAAGAGTATCCCCAACAGCCAGAAACAAAAACAGTTGCCAAACACGCAATGAGTGAAGTATGTTTATTGCCCCGCCCTTCTTACTCTAGAGGTCGGGCGTACAAGGCGCAATCACAGCACAAACACTTTATGAAAAACCGTTTTTCCAAAAGCGTTCGCAATACTGTGGCCAAAATTCCCGAAGCTCGTGCGAAGCCTTTTCCCAAAGAACTGCTGTCCGCCTCACTCTTCACTTCATCTACCTAACATACATCATCCACATCTCTTATGTCCTTCACATCACCTACATCTTCTATACCGTCTTCTACACCATCTTCTCTAGATCTACATCTACATCTACACCATCATCATCATCATCATTATCACCATCATCATCATCATTATCATCATTATCACCTACATCTGTCTCACCTACATAATCTACACCACCTACACATTTTCCATCAACCTCATCTATATGACATGCTTTATGTACAATACATACATTACCTACATCATCATCATCTACATCACTACATCCTCTACATCACCCACATCAACTACATCTTCTGCACCATCTTCCCTACATCATCATGATTATCATCACCATCACCACCACCGCCATCATCATCACCATCATCTATCTCACCTACACCACCTACATCACCTACACAACTTGCAGGTGATCCATGTCTACTTGAACTCCTACAAGACTCCTGCCGGCAAGGTCATTTTGCACAGAAATTGTTACACAGGAGTTGCTACACAGGGGTTCAGCTAACTTCCAGGTGATCAAATTGTACCTGAACTCCTGCAAAATCAGACTTCTCCAGTTCTTCTATTTCTCTCTGGTGGCAGGGACAGCCAGGCGGTGGCTTACGAATCGTTATCCTCTGCGGCGTGTCGGACACCCAAACGTGTGGCGAAATGCGGGTCTTGTTTGTCCTTGGGCAACCCTCTGCGGAGATGGCGCGTGTCGGATGGGCAAACATGTGGTGTGGTGAAATGCGAAACTTCTTTGCCCGCAGCAGCCGTCTGCGGAGATCGTGCGTTTCGAACGCCCAAACATGTGGTGGAAAGTGAATTTCTTTTGGGCACGGGCAACCCTCTTCAGAGATCGCGCAGGTCGGACATCCAAACATGTGGCAAAATGCAAATTTGGTGAGGCCCGGCACAGCCCCTTCGCACGAAATGAAGGTCAACCGTCAAAAACTGATGTAAAATTGTGATTTTGAAAGTTCAGATGCAAGCGTGGCATGAAAGTCAAACGGCAACAACTGTGGGAAAACTGCGATTTTTTAACGTCAGATGCCAACGTTCAAGAATTGGTGTAAAATTGCGACTTTATCCATTTTGAAACGTCAGGCACAACCGTTTCGCGCGAAATAAAACTTGTGTAAAATTGCGATTTTACAAGGGCGTGTTTAAAGTTTCTGCGCGTATAAGATTGTAAAAGCTGCTCTGTGCAAAGGCCTCTCTCTGTGCTCTGTGTAAACCCTGCTCTGTGAACAAGCTTCTATGCGTAAAAGCGTCTGTGTGTAAAAGCTGCTCTGTGTACCGGCATCTGTGTGTGTGTGTGCGAAGGTGTCGGTGTGTAAAAGCTTCTGTGTGTACAAGCTTCTCTGTGTAAAGGCCTCTCTGCGTCAAGACTTCGGTGTGTAAAAGCTGCTCCGCGTAAACGCTGCTCTGTGAAAACAAACCTGAGTGTAAAAGCTGGTCCGCGTAAAAGCTTCCCTGTGTGAAAGCTGCTGTATCTAAAAACCGTTTGTGCTCAAAGTTCCTTCCCGCAAACACTTGTCTGTGAAAAAGCTTCTCTGTGCAAAATCTTCTCTGTGTAAAAGCTTCTGTGTCTGTAAAAGCTGCTCTGTTTAAAGGCTTCTCTGAGTAAAAGCTTCTGTGCGTAAAAGCTTCTGTTTGTAAAGGCATCTCCGTGCAAAAGTTTCTGTGTAAAAGCTTTCTTGTGAAAAGGCTGTAAAAGTTTCTGTGTCTAAACGCTTCTTTTTGCAAGGCGTGTGTGTGCAAAAGCTCCTGTGTGTAAAAGCTTGGGCATCTGCGCGTTAAAGTTCCTGTGTGTAAAAACTTCTTTGTGAAAAAGCGTCTGTGTGCAAAGCTGCTCTGTGTAAAGGCTTCATGTGGTAAGGCTTCTTTAGAAAAGGCTTTTCTGTGTAAAAGCTTCTGTGTGTAAAAGCGTCTTTGTAAAAGCTGCTCTGCGTAAATCCCTCTCTGTGTAAAGGCTTCTGTGTGTAACATCTTCTCTGTGTAAACTTTTCGCTGTGTAAAAACAACATGTCTTTGGATTCTGACTGTCACTCAGGTGCCAGCCCTGGAGCAAACCCTCTGTGGGGCCAAAAAAGGCGCGAAACCGTGGATATATGATATTTGACTCGCGTCAGCTATCTTGCATCATCATCTCCATCGCCATTCATCCTCGTCATTGTCATCGCCATCATCATTGTCGTCATCATCATCACCATCATCATTTTTCTCGTGTGTTATCTTCTCGTCTCCTCCCTACTGCCTTCTTTCATGCCACGCTGCCGTCTAGTGTTTTATCCATGTGCGAGTGCCGTATCATTTTTTGAAGCAAAACTAGTTCTTCAATCTCTCCGTTCCGTTATTAGAACAAATCTTCAAACTTTGCAGCGTTCTGTTGTTCAATGTTCTTGGAACCTTGCCTGGGCAACTGTTCCTGGACACGTTGTTTGACACTTGTTTATCGGAACCTTGCTTGGGAACCTGTTCTTGGGAGCCTATTCTTAGGAACCTGCTCTTGGGAGCATTGCCTGGTAACCTGTTCTTGGGAACTTTCTCTTGGAAACCTGTTCTTGGAAACTTTGCCTGCTTGCTTCAAACCTGTTCATTGGGACCTTGCTCGGGAACCTGTTTTTCGCAACTTTGCTTAGGAACCTTGTTTAGGAACCTGTCCTTCGGAACCTGGCTTGGGATTCTATTCTTGCTTCCAACCTTGCTTGCAGATGGTCTTCGAAATTTCGCTTTGCAAGCCGTTCTTGAAAAGCTGTTCCTGGGAACATGAACAACCTGAAACCATGCTTGGGAACATGTTCGTGGGAACCGTGCTGGCAACCTATTGCTTGGAACCTTCCTAGAGAATTTGTTCTTGGAACCCGAACCTGTTCTTGGGAACCTGTTCTTCGAACCCTTGCTTGCGAACCTGTTCTTGCGAAGCTTGCTTGCAAACCTGTCCTTGGGGAACCTTGCTTGGGGACCTGTTCGTGGAAACCTTGCTTGGGAACCTGTTCCCAAGGACCTTGCCGCTACCCTGCAAGGAAACCTGTTCTTGGAACCCTCGCTTGGGAACTTGAGGCACTGTTCTTGGAACCCTTGCTTGTGAACCTGTTCTTGCGAACCTTGCTTGGGAACCTGTTCTTGCGAACCTTGCTTGGGAACCTGGTCTTGCGAACCTTGCTTGGAAACCTGTTCCCAGGAACATTGCCTGGAAACCCCTTGCTTGCGAACCTATTCTTGGAAACCTTTTTTGCAACCTTTTCTTGGAAACCTGTTCCTGGGAACCTTGCTTGGGAACCTGTTCCTGGCCTGGGAACCTTGCTTGGCAACTTTTTCTGGAACCCTTGCTTGGCAAATTTCTGGAACCCTTGCTTGGGAACCTTGCCTGGGAACCTGTTCTTGGGAACCTGGCTTGGGAATCGTTCCTGGTAACTTTGCTTGCGAACCTAAACCCGGAAAATGTGATTGCAAATCTTGTTCCTGGGGTGGCTGAGGACCCCAAGCAAGGTTAATTTCTTAGGAACCGATTGCAAGTACGGTTACCTGGTAACGGTTCCCAAGCAAGGTCCCAGGAACCGTTTCCAAGCAAGGTTCCAAGCACGAACAAGGCTCGCAGAAAAAGGTTCTCAAGTAAGCGTCCCCAGGAAGAGCTGGTTCCCAAGCAAAATTTCCAGGAACAACTGGGAACCCTTGCTTGCGAACCTCTTCCTGGGAACCTTGCTTCAGAACCTCTTCCTAGCAACCTTGCTTGAGAAGCTGTTCCTGGGAACCTTGCTTGGGAACCTTTTCCTGGAAACATTGCCTGGGAACTTTTTCCGGCAACCTTACTTGTGAACCTGTTCTTGGGAAACTTGTTTGGGAACCTGTTCCTGGGAACTTGTTGCTGGGAACCTTGCTTGGGAACGTACTTGGGAACCTTACTTGTGAACCTGTTCTTGGGAACCTTGTATGGGCACCTGTTCCTGGGAACCCGTGGCTGGGAACCTTGCTTGGGAACCTCTTCCTGAAAACCTTGCTTGGGAACCAGCTTGCTGGGAACCTTGCTTTGACACCTCTTCCTTGAAACCTCTTCTGGAAATACCTGCTTGAAAACCTGTCCTGGGAACTTTATTTTGCTTGGAAAAACATGTTCCTGGAAATCTTGCTTGGGAAACTTGCTGGGAACCTTCCTTGGGAACCTCTTCCTGGAAACCTCTTCCTGGAAACACTTGCTTGAAACCCTGTTCTGGGAACCTTGTTTTGCTTGGAAAAACATGTTCCTGGAAAACTTGCTTGGGAAACGGTTCTTGGGAACCTTGAAAACGGTTCCTGAAATCCGTGCTTGCAAAACCTGTTCCTGCGAACCTTGCTTGGGAATTTGTTCCTGGGAACCTTGCTTGGGAACTTGTTCCTGGGAACCTCTTCCTGGGAACCTTGCTTGGGAACCCCTTCCTGAGAACCTTGCTTGGGAACCTCTTCCTGGGAACCCTTGCTTGGGAAGCTCTTGCTGGGAACCCGTGCTTGGGAACCTCTGAGCCTTTCTTGGAACCTCATGGGAACCTTGCTTGGGAACCTCCTCCTGAAAACCTTGCTTGGAACCTCTTGGGAACCTTGCTTGGGAACGTTGCTTGGGAACCTCTTCCTGGGAACCTTGGGAACCTTCGGAACCTTGGGAACCTTGGGAACTTTGGGAACCTTGGGAACCTTGGAACCTTTGGGAACCTTGGGAACCTTGGGAACCTTGGGAATCTTGGGAACCTTGGGAACCTTGGGAACCTTGGGAACCTTGGGAACTTTGGGAACCTTGGGAACCTTGGGAACCTTGGGAACCTTGGGAACCTTGGGAACCCTGACAACCCTGGGAACCTTGGGAACCTTGGGAACCTTTGGAACCTTGGGAACCTTGGGAACTTTGGGAACCTTGGGAACCTTCGGAACCTTGGGAACTTTGGGAACCTTGGGAACCTTGGAAACTTTGGCCTTGGGAACCCTGGGAACCTTGGGAACCTTGGGAACCTTGGGAACCTTGGGAACCTTGGGAACCCTGGGAACCTTGGGAACCTTGGGAACCTTGGGGGAATGGGTTTTGGAGCTGCTCCGGTCTGCTCCGAAACCTTTTCTATGGCTGAAGACCCCAAAACTTCTGCTGTTGGGGAAAAAAACAAGTCCACCGTACCTACTTACTGGTACATTCTAGTACATACGAAGACATACTAGTACTTATTTAATCTTATTTATACTTATTTACCATCTACACGAATTGAATCTCTTTTTTCGTTTTCCACGCCCGCCTGTGCTCCGCCATGACCATCCAGCACGCCAAATAACGCCGTCTGTGTCCAGGGTGCAGAGCTGCTGGGTCGCCGGGGCAGAGTCACAGGCCTCGAAAAAATTCCACGGCCAAAAACATGCGAACAAAAGAGTCTCCAAAATTGGCCAAACATTGGCAAAGAGTGAAAGATTCCTCTAAACTCACTGAACTCACCACAACGATACTATATATTGAGTAGTTATACTGAGTGCTATTCTTGCCGCTTTGAATCGTCCATAGGGGTCGATTTGGAGTCAATCCACAGGAAGACAAAGAAGCTGACCCTACAGAACCAAACGCACAAATGACTGACTGCAAGGACCTTGCTGTATCTGCGCATTGAGGCCGCTCATGTGCTTAAGTCATGCAAAATAATGATTGGACCCAGGCCACCCAATGTAAAGAAAAGCAAAAAGTACAGTATAATTAAGTATAATTACGGGCAAACCCCTCAGTTTGCCCGCGCCGACGCAGACGACATGTCCGAACATCAAAAAACACTGTGTTTTGTGGGACAAAATGCACGTGTCCATGATCATGGCTTTCATCTTGCAACGCACAGCTTAGCTACCTGTGCGTTGAATGTTACAACAACAACAACAACAAGAACAACAACAACAACAACATCATCATCATCAACATCATCATCATCATCAGCAGCATCATCATCATCATAATAATATTTGTCATCTTCATATTCATCATCATATTCCTAATCCCCTTGTTGATCTTCCCAATTGAATGTAAAGTTTAACGGGGTTGCGAATTTATATTTCTAATCCCCTTGTTGATCTTCCCAATTGAATGTAATGTTCAAAGGGGGTGGGAATTTATATTCCTAATCCCCTTGTTGATCTTCCCAATTGAATGTAAAGTTTAACGGGGGTGGGAATTTATATTCCTAATCCCCTTGTTGATCTTCCCAATTGAATGTACAGTTTAACGGGGGTGGGAATTTACATTCCTAATACCCTTGTTGATCTTCCCAATTGAATGTAAAGTTTAACGGGGGTCGGAACTTATATTCCTTCGAAATCCCTAAGAAGTTGTGTGGGCGAACTGGGGGGTTTGCGCGTATAATTGATACAAAGAAAACGCATACAGCGAGATGCTCACGACACTCTTTGGTAGGTTCTTGTAGGAAAAAAAATGGGCTGCAACGCTAGAACACTCTTCCACAGCGCTCTTGTCACTATCTGAATGTCTTCAGCACACCGTCGTTTCATTAGTTGAGCCACATTGTGCACACTGGATGAAGCTGTCCCAAAAAAGTTATGCGCACACATGTAGATATATAAAGATATCAGTTCTATGTGTCTTACATGTTAGGGTTGGCATGTCTATATGTCTATATGTATATATATATATATGGGGTACCCATATGTGAGGATACTTCTACTTACTAGGTTGAGGGTCCGGTTGGTGTTGCTGTTGCTCTTGCTGTTGCTCCTATTATTGTTATTGTTGTTGTTGTTGCTGCTGCTGTTGTCGTTGCTGTTACTGCTGTTGTTTGTCTGGTCACATTGTAACCCAAATATAGCACTGGAGTTTTGGTTCTGGTCAAGTGTGTGTGTGTGTGTATGAACGCATATCGCAGAATGTCCATACATGACGCGATTTACACGAAATATGATTTGGGAGACATGAACATTCACAAATACCTTTGTCTCAAGACACTGGACATCGCCTCATGCTTCATCTTTATGGATCTCTTGTGACTCCAGTTGTGCCACGTGTGGTCAGCCGTGTCTTTAGCTGAGCTATCCAATACGCAGCCGACAAGAGGTATAACCATAATATGTATGCCTCTTCTTATAAATATAGTATTTGTGTTTAAAATTCTGAAACTTGAAGAAGCTCAGGCTGCCAGGCAGGGCAATGTGGGCGTCTTCCATGCTCACTCGCCAGCCCTGCATGGCTGAGGCAACCCAGGTAAGTCCTTGGCTGTGCTCAACGGATACACTTCCAAACAAAGCCAGATGCACAAGTCTGCATTTGCGGCCCATTCCCATACTGCCCATCAGCATTCAGGACTCATCAAGCACGACTGACGTGACCCTCCCAAACGCTGGCACTTGGCAGTCTGGGCACGCAAAGGACCGCATTCGAAACCACTCTCAGAGCACTTCTTGGTGTTTGGTTTTTCCTTGGCCAAGCTCGGGTTCGCCAAAATCAAACAGAACAAGCGGCTAGGAGTCGGCTAGGAGTTGCAGAATTAGAGCAGAAGCAACAGTTTTACTGCTTGAAAGGCTTGCTTGTAGAAAGCACGGGAAACAAGATCAAATTTAATGAATTTCTGGGATTGATTCATTGACGAGAATAATTCAAAGCTACTGCATGGTGGAAGACTCCGAGAAGGGAAAGTGGTATGAGTGGCGCACATGTCATGCTAAGTAAATTGATGGCCCCAATGCATCCCAATGCAATCATTTCAGTGGACCAGAATAGAGCCAACCTTGAGGATCTGGCTAGGACCCCACCCATTGCGGCAGGGAAAATGTGCAAAGAGTGGGAAAGGCTTGGAGCTATTTGGAGCTCATTCATCTTTGATTCATCTTTGATTCATTTTTGATTCATCTTTGCAAATGTGGTTCTTTCCTCTTTGCCGCAATTCGATGTTCTCTGCCGCTGGTAAACACTTATTCTGGGAGCTTATCCTTGAAGCCAAAAAATGTAACCAAATAGTCTTGCCCTGTTTTTTGGGAGTGGGGCCCGGGGTTCTGCTCAAGGCTTTGTCACTTAGCAGTTGAACTGTAGAACACTGTAGAACACTGTAGAACGCTATGGCTGTCTAGTGCCAAAGAACTTGGCTGCAGGAAGAAAGCTTGAGAGCAAAACCATCAGTGTCAATCAGAGAACATTCCCTTGAAAATTATCTGTTCGGCATGGCCTGACCTGCCATGTGGGGCTTGCCTGAGATGGCTGTACGAGCACGGATCAGAAAAACGGAGAAGATTGCCTGATCATTTGGCAAGCTCGTAGGACAGTCAGTTCCCTCCAGAGAAACTCTCCTTTGTAGTCCTAAACACCACTTCTTCTTAGATTGCAACAGGGGAAGAGGACTTTCATAATACTGTATCCTTCCGCGCGAGCCAGCGCTTGTGTTTTGGTGTTCTGCCTGACTAATCTTCCACGCCAAAGGACCAAGATGTTCTGTTGAAACCGTAAAGGCAGGAACCTGGACAGATTCAGTCTAATGTTAATTCGTGAAACCAAGAGCTTGATGCCTGCCACATGCTTACCAACAGAGACTCAGTGGTCAAAACAAATATGTATATATATATCATGTACTGCATCAGCAAGGCTGAATGCGTGTTTGAACTGGGAAGGAAATGACCAGTGGTCAGCATAAGCTCTTGAATTGATTGAATTGGATAAGGTTGTGCACGAACTACTTTTCAAAAGCAGGATCTGGCGCACACCAAGAGGCGCCAAAGTCTACCTTTGTCCAAGCCCCGTCCTCCTGAAAGACACCTTTGTCCAAACTGGGAGTCACCTCTTGATTTTGAGTCTAGGACACGCCCCTTCCCTGCTGTCTGGCACAATGCTCCACACGAGCAAAGCTTTCAATCATCGTTACTGAGTCCTTCAGAAGTTGGAAACTCAGAAGCCAGGCTCCATGCACAATTCTGCCCTCGAAGCAGCACTTGACTGCTGCCTCCATGTTGTGCGGGTCTTGGCACTTCGAAGCTTTTACAACTAGGAAATAAGCTGTCAGGAAGTCAACATGCGTATTGAATGCATCCATCTGCATCTATCACAATTAGAAAGAGGTTTCTGCTGTGATAAAATGAACACCTCGAGTGCTCAAATTGCCCGGAACGGAGATGTCATCGTAGGGGAGGCTCGGACCTCACAGCACAAGGGGTGAATGCAGCATAGAAGATCCCTGTCAAATAAGTTGCCTCAATGCCTCTGCTGCGCTCTTGGAAATATCATCACTTGGATGACCAAATGCTTTTTCGAAAAAACCAAATGCTTCTGAATCAATGAATTTTGCATTCCGCTCCAGTCAAGACGCAGCAGGGCGGATGGCTGCTGTGATGCTCTGCACCGTGGTTATGCCTGCAGACACCAGCAGCCCACAAATCTCTGGCCACTATCCATTTTCCGCTACATTTGACAATCTAAATATATCTAAATAGTGCTGATACAAAAGGGGGAAGAGGTCTTTGCGTGGTTTGACTGGTACCAAGTAAGGGACAACTCTGAAATTTAATGAAGATGAATGAACATGAATGAACATGAATGAAAATGAACGAAAATGAATGAAAACGAATGAAGATGAATAAACATGAATGAACATGAATGAACATGAATGAAAATGAATAAAAATAAATGAACATGAATGAAAATGAATGAACATGAATAAAAATGAATGAAAATAAATGAGAATGACTGAACATGAATGAAAATGAATGAACATGAATGAAAATGAATGAACATGAATGGAAATGAATGAACATGAAAGAAAATGAATGAACATGAATGAAAAGGAATGAAAATAAATGAACATGAATGAACATGAATGAACATGAATGAAAATGAATGAAAATAAATGGAAATGAATAAACATGAATGAACATGAATGAAAATGAAGGAACTTCAATGAAAATGAATGAAAATGAAAAAATGAATAACGATGAATGAACAATGATGAATGAACATGAATAAAAATGAATAAAAAGGAATGAAAATGAATGAACATGAATGAAAATAAATGAAAATGAATGAAGATGAATGAACATGAATGAACATGAATGGAAATGAATGAAGATGAATGAAAATGAATGAACATGAAAGAAAATGAATGAACCTGAATAAAAATGAATGAAGATGAATGAAAATGAATGAAAATGAATAAAAATGAATACAAATGAATGAAGATGAATTAACATGAATGGAAATTGAAAAAATGAATGAAAATGAATGAACATGAATAAAATGAATGAAAATGAATGAACATCAATGAAAATGAATGAAAATGGATGAAAATGAATAAAAATGAATGGAAATGAATGAAAATAGATGAAAATGAATGAAGATGAATGAACATGAATGAACATGAATGGAAATGAATGAAGATGAATGAACATGAATGAAAATGAATGAACCTGATTAAAAATGAATGAACATGAATGAAAATGAATAAAAATGAATACAAATGAATGAAGATGAATTAACATGAATGGAAATTGAAAAAATGAATGAAAATGAATGAACATGAATGAACATGAATGAAAATGAATAAAAATGAATAAAAATGAATGGAAATGAATGAACGTGAAAGAAAATGAATGAACATGAATGAAAATGAATGAAAATAAATGAACATGAATGAACATGAATGAACATGAATGAAAATGAATGAAAATAAATGGAAATGAATAAAAATGAATGAACATGAATGAAAATGAATGAAAATAAATGAATATGAATAAACATGAATCGAAATGAATGAACATGAATAAAAATGAATGAAAATAAAATAACATGAATGATCATGAATGAAAATGAATGAAAATGAATGAACATGAATGAAAATGAATGAACATGAATGAAAATGAATGAACATGAATGAACATGAATGATCATGAATGAAAATGAATGAAAATGAATGAACATGAATGAAAATGAATGAAAATAAATGATCATGAATGAAAATGAATAAAAATGAATAAAAATGAATGAACATGAATAAACATGAATGGAAATGAATGAAAATGAATGAACATGAATGAAAAGGAATGAAAATGAATGAACATGAATGAAATAAATGAAAATGAATGAAGATGAATGAACATGAGTGAACATGAATGAAGATGAATGAACATAAATGAACATGAATGAACATGAATAAAAATGAATGGAAATGAATGAACATGAATGAAAAAACCGAAAGGCAATCCATGAAAATGTTACAGTAAGTTGCAGCTGACCTCGAGGGTGAACTGCCCGAACGCTTTGGCTCACTGGGCCTGGCCAAATCACCAAATTAGTATCGCATTAGTCGCAGTAGTCGCATTAGTCGCGTTAAGTTGTCCGTTCTGACTGTAACTCCACAGTTCAAACATATTTTTGCACCCGCACACAACGCAGTCGGTGGATGTCAGTGGCGTCCGATTGCGCATCGGACCTTTTTCACCTCTATTCCGTTCCTGAACTTCTGAACATCGGCGCAACTGAGTTGCCCCACTCAAGCTGCGAGCTACTGGAGTCAGCGGCGATCCAGGCTGCAGCGGAACGGCTGGTGAGATATAGGAGAATGGAGTGCCAAGAGAATCTGGGAACGGAACAATCATATTATGGACATCTGGACTCTTGTGGCTACTTGCAGGAGGCAACTGAGGTCCTGTGCTCCCTTGCAGACAACAATTCTTTCTTATCGCAAATCATCCCACAAAAGAATTCACGTATTCTTGCCCGCTTGAAGGTGTTGGGAAAAGAGTGCCATGCCTGTTTGTGTATGTGTCTCTGCATGTGGACGTATGCTGCATGCATGCATGCATGTCATTCAGTGTGGGTGTGTGTGTGTGTGTGTGGTATTCAAGTGTGTGTTTGCGCGTGTGTGTGTGTGTGCGTCTGCGTGCGTGCATGCACATGCGTACGTATGTATGTATATTATGGTACGATATGTGATCACATTTCCTGACGCAAATGCATGTACAGTGTGCATCCCTTCATAACATCCATAGAGTGCTACCAAGCTTAAGAAGCGTGTGAATCCATAGTTCATTTTCAGGAAAGTAGATGCACGGATGAAAACATTGCTTAAGAGTAAAAGCAAGGCTATGAGAGATCCAGTATGGTCCAAAATACGAATATTTTAGCTCATTGCCAGCTCCAGCAATTTTTGTTGATAATGTTGCTGCACGACATGAGTATGCATGCTTTGTATTCTGTCGGAGAAGGGAGACATGAAGGCTAGCAGTCATATATTGACAATACAGAAAAGATAGAAAATGCTCAACTTGACATGAGATCTACAGAGCGACCCTTCCAAAACATCATCTTATGGCTAGATATGTCATACAATTTGCAATAGAACAACAGGTCAAAAGCAGTGCGAAAAGATATTGTGCATATAAAACGGAATCAAACATTGAGATACATTGAGGACATTTGAAGACCATGATGAGGATGGACCTCATCCAGCTGTAAGCTTCGGCATGACACATGCAAACTTACTCTATAAGGCTCTTATTTTCACTTATAGAGAAAGTACTGGGTACCGGATTGTCAAACAATTGACATTTGCACACAAGTGACATACGATTCTTCCTTTGCGTGTTGAGTGCATTGAGATTTTGGCACTTTGGGTATGCGGCCCGTCATCCAGAGATGCCCCACTCTGCCCTCCCGTGCACATCGCACCATACGCACCGAGCGTGCCGGTGGCTGTGCGGTCAAAGTGCGTAACCTCGCAAAAAAAATGCACAAGCACACAGCGGTAGACATGCAACTGATCAAACGAGAAATGTGTGACCACGGGCAATTGCTTGCAGTTTATTCTTTGAATTTGTGGCCTGATGTGTGTTTACCATGGGAGGATTTCGGACCGTGTCTTTATAGATGCTTGAGGCAGTCAGAGTTGACATGGTTGGCCTCTCTTGTGACTCTTGTGTTTGATAAGACGCAAGGCAGCTGATGTCGATTGGATCTGAAGTCCAAGTTGGTGGGCTTTGACTAGGGACACCACGGTGGCACCGGGCCTCGGATCCACAACGAAACAATTTTATGATAGAATATGATAGAATTGGTAAATCAAGCTTCGTAAAAGTAGAAGCTACTGCCCAGACTACAAAATGCTGGTGTGTCCTAAACATAGTCAGCCCTTCCAAGACCTGACAAGACTGATTTGGACTGATCTTTCTGAAATGACAAGAAGAGATGTTCAGTCCAAAATGACTTTATCCGAATGAACACCCCAATGTATCCACGGTGACTTGGCACAATTCGTCTCAGCTTTGAGGGCCTGACTCGCCATGGAGGTTGTAGACTGGCACAGGCACGAGTGGAGAAGATTGTCAAAAACATGATTCCTGGATTTGGCACCAGTACAGACGCAATGCTTAGATTGCAATCGATTGCAATCGATTGCAACAGATTGCAATAGATTGCAATATGCCGTTTCTTCATGTTTCTTCGAGTGAAACCACTAGAATGTCACTGCAACGCGCCACGACACAGTGCTGACAGTGCTGACCTGGTAGACTGGCGCCCTCACTTCTGTCACCCGTCCAGTCCTGGCGGGACACCAAGCCAGACCAAGCCTTGTAATCCTTGTCACACACGAGAAGATATGGGAAGGGATTCTGATTCTGAAAAGCTGACCGAAAATGGTGAGTTTGAAGCTTGCAAAGCGAACAGGCCTTCTTTAGCTCAAGGGTAGTAGCTGTAGCTAGTTGATTTTCTCATGGTTTCTAGTTTTTTCTTGAAACATCTTGAAATCGAGTCCTTGTATCTGGAGGCGGAACAGATGTAGATGTTGGCGACCTGACAAGGCACAGGCTTCCTATCATTCCTCAACCAGCTCGCTGCTCAGCTCCATTTAAACTGGTTCGGTAAACCCGGTAAACAAAAGGCAGATTCTGCATGACCGGCTCCCAATCCGGATGATATACACAAGACTGGGCAACAAGACTAAGGCTTCAATGAGGCATTCATAGAAGAAAAGAAAAGGTGCTTGGAAAATGGGTCCTGTATCATGTATCACAATATCACATAGGAATTCTTAACATGTTCCTTTTGAGAAAGGAGTTCCACTAGTGATGAAGCTCTGTATGTAGAGACTCTGCAGTTGATATGAGTCGATTGTATTCGATTGTTGGATTCAAACAGATCTGTTTTTGAATATTGAGTCGATTTTTGTTTCTGAATGAGTCTGAATCTCAGGATCTGTGTCAGCTGCTGCACCTCCCTTTGCTGTTGGAGCGAGCCTCAGGACTCTCCCACCTGGCTGAGCCAGCTCTTGTCATCTCCGTAGTCTGAATCACACATACCACATATCCGACATATCTTCTTTGTTTTGTTTCTAATTGGGCAAGTCCAACAGTTTGGATGAAGGCATTCTGACCACCATATTCCAACAAATGAAGAAATAACAGCATTTTGTCTCACATGACTTGATTCGCAGACCACAAGTTCCAAACAATCTGCTAGAGCATTCTCGAAAAAGTGCCCTTGTCATGCATGTCTCAAAGGACACAATTGATGTAACTATGTGCCTGCGTGCAGCTCTCCCTTGGCTGCCATTTTCTCCTGTGGAAAGCAGTTTTGCCAGTCAGGAAGTGGTAAGCCCCTCATTTTCTGCAAATTTAAAACCCAACCCACTCTTCATGGGCTATGATGCGCAGTGGGCAGTGAATTGAGTGAACTGTGTTCTCAAACTCCATTTAGGATTGTACGTGGCAGGCCTCGATTTTGGCCCCGCCCAGCATCTGGTGTGGCCTTGCCAGCAGAACTGTGGAAAGCGTTACTGGCATTGTACTGCTTTTGTTGTACCATGCACCATGTCGTGCAGTGCCAGCAATTAACCTCATAAACCGCCAAGAGACCCTTGCTTTGAACCTGACCTAGCTGACCTAGCTGAGTTGGCTTGCACACCAACCACTATCGCTGAAAGGATGAAATTATGGACGGACGCGCTTGTTCTTGATACTTCGCATGCTTAAGGTTCAAAGTTTGGGGTTGATATCTGATCAATCTGACAAAGCTCCAGCTGTTTTTGCAGGAGTCAGACCATAAGGTAAAGATTGGAGAAGACTTTCCAAGACCTATGAAAAACATTGAAAAACTGCAAAAGTTCTGATTGAATCCAATTGGATGTTTGGGGCTCCGGCTGTCAACGTCACCGTCATGGCAACACCTGCCAAATTGCTCGATGGCATCATAAGGTTCCAAAAAAAGATGCAACACGCCAACACCCAGCAACAATTCTGGCCTCGCCGAGTGAGTACAGGAGTGCCCGCTGGCGATGCAATGTGCCGCTTCTGCAAAAAGTGCGAAATTTGGAGGCTTCATGCTTTTGGTCTTTGCATTTGGACATGCGGAACTACCCCTGATGGCAGGTTTGACAGTCCGTTTGCACCTGGTATCCACCAGCCTGGCTTGGAGTTTGCCTCGAATTCCCGGAGATGAATTTACAGTTCAATTCAATTGCCTCTCAAAGATCGTTCAGGTGCGTTCAGAAGCATGATTGATAAGACCAACATGCTTTTGAACGAGAGCATCATAACGGTAAGTTGGGCTGGCCTAAGTAGATCGTATCTGTTTCTAATGATTCCTTTCTCGCGAGTCCTTTCTCAGATGGGACAGCAGGACGGCACATGAAGCCCTGCATCAATCTCGGAACGATCTTGGCTGATCTTGTTCGCGCTACTCAATAGATCTAAAATGGAACTCAAGTCATGAGCTGTCTCCACCACGACGCAACTTTACCGAGCTTCACTATCCTTCACTTCGCATCTTGGAATACCCTGAAATTTCCCCGGAAACACCACTTAGCCAATGGCGAAGGAGGCCATTGCACCTTTCTCACTGCCTGTGTTTCTAACGCCAGAAGCAGTTTCTGGCAGAAGCATCGCATGTGTGCCAGACTTTCCAAAGATCTGCCAAATCAAAATCGTTCAGTATAAAATATTATATATATATACATAAATTATATAAATACAAATAAAGCAAATGTTTCCCAATGCTGATTTCTCAAAGTTGTTCCTTTCGTTTCACTGGCAGGCGACACAGCCAAGACTTCTGCAAAGCACGAGTTTATACTATTTTGAAGAACGGCCCTCGCGTACCGCACGGTGGGGCAACTTTGGTGTAGCCATAAGGTTTGCCTGGCAAAATTGAGTGGGCAACAGGAACAGGTGGTTCAAACTGGAAAAGGAACAACAGGCCAAATGGTACCGTCCACAAACTGCTAAGGTTCGCAATTTGTGTCATTCTGCAATTGGAAACCCATGTTTTCTAAACTAGACGACACATTGACATGTTTTGCTACGCAATATTGGCTCATGACCACCTATTTTTGGGCAAACGATTCCTCCTGTTCTGCAGCTTTGTTCAGATTGTGCACCTTTTATTGTTACAAACCATCACTCTTCTCTGGGCAAGTGCGCTTCGAGATTGGTGTGAAATGGCATCAAAGCGGATTGCGAAGCTATAATATGTACAGGTTTATATATATATACACCTACACCAATACTATATACTAGTATATTACAGTATGTCATGTACAGCATGTACTCTGCTGAGTACAACGGAGCGATCAGCATACGACTCAAGACAGCTTGTTCCAGTATACTATTTGAATGCGTGCACGTTGTAGATGTGTGATAATGTGTGACCGGGTTTAACGACGCTCCATGCCACTACTGCCCACACAGGCGAATTGGTGTTTGTAGAGTGCAAGCTTAAGTATGCCTCTGAATACAAAATGCTTGCAAAGTTAGTGCTTGCTACAAATTCTGTTGCCTGAACCTCCAAAATCGTCTTTGTTGTTGGGCCTCTCTTGTCCCCAATTTTTTAGGTCCGCGTGCGAGACTCCGAGCTTACGCTTCCCGCGCCTGCTATGAGGCTCTACCTATGTGTTTTGATTTTTGTCATTCCATATGTGGCCCTGTATGTTTTTTGGTCTGTAAATAATCGCAGCTGGAGTGATCAGCGATCCACCGGCACCAGACTGACCGTCTGCCCCGGATCGCTTTGCATAGAGACCTTAAATGCTTCCCTGTAGATTAGATTGTTTATATTAATTAAATGGGTTGATGATTGAGCACCAAAAACTCATCTTTTAGACCAAAAGGGATGCTGGGATTCCTGATAGCCAGGTGGCTGACAGAAATCAAAGTCACCAGCTGCGAGGTTCTCCAGGAGGGGTGCTGCCCTGCTAGAGCAACATCAGAGATATATCTAGAGTCTACAGTAATCTAAAGCTAAAAAGTTGTGCATCTCTGAACAGAAAGCTTGATTTGTTCAAGTCTTGAAGTTGGTTCAATTCAACAGAAAACGCAAACTATCGAGGAAATCTTATTTGGCGAATGCGGTTGTTGCGACGCATATTGCTTTTGTGCAAGTCAACTTAGCGAACTTAGGAAATAGTGGTCGTGTGTAGTGAAGCTTGGAATCTTGACAGCAAATCTCTTGAGTCTTAGCGGACATTAGTCTGAAACTAGCCAAAGCATGACAAAGCCCATTCATTTCATGGGCAAAACCCCAAGTCAGGTCTTACCTTCGCCTGGCAATGAGCATGTCAGAAATTGAGGAATAAAAACAAGTAAAAACAACAGCTCAACAAGGGGCAGAGCCAGAGTCGTGGGGTTTTGCCGGGTTTGCTGGACCCTTCTGAAGTCTGCATTTTCCTTGTCCATCCAAGCACGAGAGAAGGCAGGATCAGTGACGATCAGTGGTGAGGATTGGCACTTTAATTGTCGCGTTGCTGGATCGCTGGTCTCCAGTCAGTTTCCCACAGGTGCTACGGGACCTGCACTGGAGCTGCTGCTGAAGAAACTGGCGTCGAAGTATTTGATCTCTCACCCAGCTCGCCTCACCCAACGAGAAGTGAATTGTGGAGGTCGCATCAGATACGTGACTTGGAAGCTGCTTACACTTCCTGTTTGGTAGGATCCAGTCTTGATGATTTGGTGGGTGCATCAGCATAGCTTGCTGAGTGATCACTCCTTTTTGCAAACGACACGAATGCAAAAGACCAAAACATTTGACACAGCTGGCAACACAGCTGGCCTGTCGCACTGTTTCGTGGCGAAGTTGTGCGCACCTGGATCTCGCTTTGGACTTGAGAGCAGGCGGAGGCGGACGAAAGGTAGTGTAGTGGGAGAGGAGTGGTGTCAAAATGCTGCGCCCCTAAGATGATACACCAAAAACGTTTTTGCGCAGTCTAAGATGATTTTATCCAGAGCATGACTGCATGATACGGTGTCTTGTGCAGCGTGAAATGATGCACGAAAAGGGGTTTATTTAAAACCCCTTTTTAAGACCCCTTGCAGCAACTGTTATTGAGGCTGAAGCATACCAATTATGCTGGACTACAGGGACATCTCCCTCATGGAAAGTGTGCCTCTAATGTGGGGGCCCGTGACCGCGTCACCCGTGGGAATTGAACCCATGACCATTTTCGGGGGGGGAGGGGGGCCCCCCCCCCCTTATAATTGATATCCAATACATAACGGCGAGAATTCCATGAATTCCGTGGGCTGGCCCCCCAATACCCCCTAAGCTTGTGCTGAAGCACGGAGAACTCAGGTAGCTGACGCTACCTTTCGTGATTTGAGCCCCACGAATGCCCAACCACATCAACATTCCCTCCAGTCCAAGATCCTACTGTGTCCTCCTCTCTCGGTCAGAATGAAAGTGTCAACCTAGTCTCCAACCCTTTAAGCTTTCTCACAAATCTTCTGGGTGGCTTTTGTTTGCTGAGTAGTGCTGAGTTCCTTTTCGGAATAAACACATAGCAGCTTCCAGATGCTTTCAGTAACAAAGGCAAGTAATCCTCGAGGCCAATCCGGAGCCAGCTCTGCGTACCATGCCTGCTCGCATGATGCAACCCGACCACTTTGTTGCCTCAGAATTAGTGCCATGTTTCGAAGAAGCTGCAAGACACAAAAGCTCTTCTTTTCCAGTCAACGCATGCAAGCACAAAAGCCACAAAGTTATATATATATGTAAAGATCAACAGACTAGGCATAATTGTCGATCCTATTGCAAAACATCAATTCCCCCCGGGGTAGCTTTTAAGTTTTCTCGCAGAAGCAAAATCCTTATCTTGAGCAAACCTCTCGGTTATACACTGGCACTGTAACAAAAAGATACACCACAACCACGTTCCACTGGGACTCCGTACAAAGGTAACCGCTTTGAGCTTTGCGACGGACTGGCAGTCGATTTAAATCACAAGCATTAAGACAGAAACAGAGACTTCGAAGAGCAACATGCTGATTTTGTTGCATTATGACCTTCAGTGCTTCATGAAATCTTCAAAGATCCAAGAGTCTTGGCTCGGTATGCTTGGTTCATAGTCCAAGAGGCGGCGTGGAGGGTGCTGTTGGCGGCTGCCTTAGCTAGGCGGCTAAGTTCTCTTTATCGCACTTTTTTATGTCCCATTGATTCCTTTTGTAGGTGCGCCGTATTCTGTACCTTGCCGTATTCTGAACGGGAAACGGAGAAACTGAACAGAAAGAAAGTGAGCCTCAGACGATTTTGTGAGCGAGGGTTCTGACTGCACCTGGCGTGACAACTTGAAGCTGTTGCGACCAAGGTCAGGATTCCGGATGAGTCTTGTACCCTGGAGTATGAGCAGCAAAGCAAAACAATCCAAAACATTGTCACTTGAAGTGGCAATATTTTGTTGGATGTGCAAGAGCCTTTCATCCGCTACCAGCCAAAACAATGCAGTAGCATTGCAAACTACAGACGTGGTATGAAATAACAAGTTATCCCCCAAGACTAACCGTTGTCATCAGTTGTCACGAGTCACAATGCTCTTTCACTGAAAGGAACCTCTGCTTTGGCAACAACCCACGGATGCCTTCAGCGGCAATAGGGGTGGATACTCGCAGCTTGGTCTCCAAGTTCAATACCATCCATGTCAAACAGAACACAGCAAAACAGCAAAGACTCTTCAAAGCATCTGCTATATTGCTTATGAAGTAATTGCAAGCTTTGGCTGCCAGAGCCTTAGCACTTGGTCTAGCGGTAGACGGTGGGATGGCTCCTTGCAATGAAACGGTAAAAGAGGCCAAATAATTATCTCTCCGCCAATGACCTCAAGTGACCTCAAACACGTGACACATCGGCACACATCGGCACACATCGGCACACAGCCTGACGCAGCCTGACGCAGCCTGACACTGCTCTCACCGCTCTCACCGCTCTCACTGCTCTCACTGCGCTCCCGCTTCAGCAGCCGTCGCACCAAATCGACCACCAAAGGCGGCAAGCCAGGCTGAGCATCAAAAACATGGAACAGAATGGCAGTGACATGCCAAAAATGACATTGCATCTTTGAACTGATTGAAGACCTTGAACTAGTTGAACATTTCAACTCAACGCCAAAAATAAGACCAACACAAAGCTGCAGTTGCCAGTTGAACATGCGCTTTGTAACTTAGTAACTTATTTTGAAGCATACCATTTGTTCACCATCTTAGCAGGACACCGGGAAAAAGATGGCGATCTTCAAGATCCTCAGGAGCAAAAGCACAACTTCCGCAACAGTGACTGTGTCCAACTGTGTCGAGGCCAAAAAGGGGCAAATGGAAACCAACAAAGAAATCAACAGAATTGAAATAAACAGTTATATAGCAGTGCACCGCTGTTCGCTCCTGTCGATGAGCATCGTATGGTTCGTGCTCTGGAAAGGCGGTCGACCTACCTGGAGGCAAGTTCTATGAATCGACGTCTGATGATCATCTGACAGATATCTGACACATCTGTAGATCATCTAGGTTTGCCATCTTTGCCATCTTGCCATCTTTGTTTATGGTTTGCTTCCCTATCCGTCTCGCACAATAAAGCAGGCTTCTGCGAAAGCTTCTGTTCACCGCATGCCAGTTGCTGAGTTCCTAACCATCATCTCGTAGAGCAAAATTCCCACACTCCAAATGTCTAAGGTTTGATCGTGACCACTTCCCTGCGGAATCAGACTGCAGTTGAATGGATTGCTGAGCTGCAAAAAGTACACATGCGACATTGGAAATAGCTCAACTTTTCTTGGCTTGACCAAGGGATGTATTATATATATACACAGTATACATTATATAATTATATTATATATATATATATTATATATACACATACATCACATGGATAACTTTAAATGGCTTGCACCTGGATCATCTCAGGAGCAAGATAGTCCATTGTACCGCAGAATGTGGTACGGAGTACATTCGTGGCGGCACACCTTCAGAGGCTTTGGCTGGTGTTGTCAGCCTTTCACATATTGATCACAAGTATCACATATTGAAGTATTTGAAGCATGTACTGTTGCTTTTGATCTGGCGATGTTTCAATTTTGGGAAAAGAAGGACTACCCACTTTACGACTGGTCTATCTTTCAGATTTAATGATTCAAGAAAAGTGATTTGCTGTCTTCAAAAGGGTATGATCCGGGACGGCATGCCTTCCCCGACACAAACAGGGTGAAAGTGTGCAGTCCCTGACTCCCTGAGTGCTACACCATCCAAAGTCCGCGATCTTCAAAACATCATCATGTGTAATCAAGAGGTTCTGCGACAGAAACTTTTCTTGTTGAATCGGGATCCTAATGCTGACTACACCTTCGCTGGGAAAAACATGCAAGAAAAGCCTTCTGCATTAAATCGACGTAGCACATCCCTAATATCAAACTAGAGCACCGGTTTAAAAAGGAGATAGGGATCATCGGCCAGCACAACAACCAAGCAACGGAGGAGGTCACCACTCCACAATCGCCACCACAACAAAACCATACAAAACCAAGAAACGACCACGACCTGCATCAAACGATAGTCAGGACACGAAAACATGCGGACCTTGTGACTATGACACCATCTACCTATGATTGAATAATGCAGCTAGCCAAAAAAACAAAAAACACGTGTCCAGGACCAGGACATGATGACCGGGACACCATTACAAAGTCCATCTTCCGAACAAAGAAAAGAAAGCGAAGCACGCGACATCGCAGATTGAACGACTCCGATACGATGCTACGGGGCATGCTGAAACCAACAATAAGTTCAATAATGTAAAATCGTAAAATCCATGACAACATGACCTGAACGCCACCACAACATCCTCAACATGCCGACCGGGAGAATCATCGAAACATGAGATGGACACCACACAATATCACATGACACCAGAGCAACATCCATCACGACAACAGAACACTTCCAGAATCTCAGGATCATCGTAATACAATCTGGGACGTCGCAAGAAGAAGACTGGGACATCATGAAGAAATATGAAGAAGCACCACCACAACAGCGACAACAATCTCATTTCATGACAGTAGCACCAATGGCACATCATAGAGCATCCATCAGAGGGTGACCGAGACACCAGGACACTGAAGTAACTGCCAAAAGCCAGCCCGACCCAAATGATCCCGCAGGTTCCGGCATTCATCTTGCCCGAGGTAGTCTAAATGAGTCTAAAGTGCTCTGAATCCTACTAAGTATTCGTTTGAGAGGCCACACTCCGAAACAGTCCTCCGGCTTCAAGTCCCGGTGCACAATTTGATGCGCATGAAGGTACTTCAAACCACGCACCAACTGGCAGAATTGCTGAGGAAGTGCTACTGCTACTTAAGATCTCACTGGCAGACATGTGGCCTTGCAGCAAATAGATGCAACAATAGAGGTTCATGAAAGGAAGGAGACATACCGCTACAACCCGCTACATTTCTTTGCAGCATACTTAGAAAAACGTCAGCCTTCACGTACTTTGCAGAAGTGATTCACAGAACATTCGCCTGCACAAAGAAGTGCTTCGACATTTGTTCGTCGAACTTCCGCCCCTTTTGGGTCCTGGCAACGCATCATTCCTTGTGTCAAGATGCGCATCGTACAAGTCCACAAGAGTCACAAGACTCTCCTCAGAAGCTGATAGAGCTCTCCCTTGGCACAGTACTCCAAGAGCAGAAAAACATTCTCTTCATCCTGAGAAGACATGGAGACTCTGTTGAGACAATGTTGAGAAATTCCGTATAGTGCAGGCAAGGTGGAGCACCACTCATACCATTCCGTTTAAAACTCAAACCCAAAGGGCTCTAGACTCTAGGAGTTAAAAATAGAAACATGAGACTAACCCTCAATTCTTGCAGCCTCAAAGTGCTTGAAAAGGCGTAGCACGTTTTCGTGCTTGAGATTCTGTTGCACCATGATCTCCCTCTCTACCTGCCATACAAGTAAACATGAGGCATTGCTCACACATCCTGAAGGAGCTTGGGCTTCCAAAATCCACATCTGTGACTCTGTGACACAATCATGTTTTACACATCTCTACACATCTTCACAGGATTCAAGGCTGCCTGCGAATTCTTCCCAAACACAAGATTGAAGCTTTTTGATGCGAAGAGAATGCTGGTCACACAGAGTTCACACTGCCTTTCCAGTACACATGTTCTCTTGCCCACCACTTTCTGAATCAATGAGCAAGAGGCAGGGCCGCGTACCCGGGACAACTGTTTTATTTCCCCACCTGCTCTATCAACTGCCCAGTCATCACCTTGCAGGCTCACCCTTGGAGAAATCATCTCTGTGTCAATCGGTGCTCCTTAGCGTTAGGCTATATCTGACGGATTATGATATCGATGTTCATCAAAAAATGTTGTAGCAAAACTTGTTGAAAAGCCTCTTGATCAGCACGCAAAGACTGACAGAGGCTATATCCAAGTCATATTCGGAAGATTCAACTCAGGTGCTTTCTCAAACAGTGTCCCTAGACAAGCAGTATCCTCCATCACAATTCGGGGAAGGAACCCAAGTCTCAGCCATCCTTGACATGTTGTGGTTCAATCGTATTGTCTGCAGGGTACTCTTGCATGCCACCAGTCAACCTGATTGTGGATGTTGCCGTTACATGGAACAAAGTTGCTTATGGAACTATATGGAACTACAGTATATGGAACTCAGAAATGCGGCTAGGTGCCAAAGGACGGATTGATTGTACTGTCGCAATTAGCAGCGTCGGGATACTGTGGGACTACGTATGTATTTCTACATACGATATCATACGATGATATAATCCAATAATATAAAATATAATGCCAATATGTATAGATGTTTGCCTAAGCCTTTTCTGTCATTGCCAAGCTTTCAGTAGTCCTTTTCCACTACACCGGAAGTAGCCTCCACCTTCTGCATAGTCTTCAGAGCGTAGACATCGTCGGTTCCCTGGCTCAGTCTGTTTTGACTACTGAGCCCAGTCACAGCTCTAGCTTTATTGAGGGTCAGTGTTTCAAAGATTTTCAAAGTATATTGTCCTCCAAGTGTTTGTCGGCTACATTGTCTTCGATTGACAACTACCGGAACCTTTGCTTAATTACTCCAAAGAAAAGTACTGCTTGCGAGGATGGCGAAACCAGTTGCATCTACAGATATACAGTACACCCATCAGTGACCAGGGTTCTGCCTTTCTCCTGACGCGTCGCACAACTCCAAAGGATCCTTTGCCCAAGGAACGACCTGAAAATCACGCAGATTTCCCAAGAGTAAACTTTCCTCGTGGATCTGCTTATTGGCTGGGTTGGCGGTAGCTACAGTAATTCCAACCTGAATTTATCTGGCAATCAAGCCCCTTTTTGGAAAGCCACCGCCAGCTTGATGAGTACTGCAACATGTTGGGCTCACTTGCAAAAGCACACCAGCTTATGTGGTTCATATTGGTCAAGTACATTTGTGACAATGGATGCGAGCTCTGTCTTCTTGTTTTGTCAAATGTACTTTGCAAGGCATGACTCACTACATGTGTTTGTGTGGATGAGCCATGAAGTACCTTCATTTTGAGCTTGTGTACTGTATTTTCAGACCACTTCTAAAAAACAGGAGATGCTTCACAAAGAAATATCCTCCTTCAAAGCCCTTCGTAATCACTGGCAAAAAAAACTTATGAATGACTTTTCGCACATCCTTATCAGTCTATCGAGAGCCCAACCACCGACCCCGTCGAGGATCTCAAAGTCCGACATTCGCACCTTCCAGCAAGTCGCAACTGTCTCTTGGAAATTCAAGCAAGCCAACCCCTGCTGTCGCCATTCAAACAGTTTAGGGAAACTAACACAAAATCACACCAACAACATCGCAAAAGTGCATCACAAAATCCTGTGCATGCTTCAGCAAAGACAGTCAGTGGTACAAGGCTTTTACATCTTCTCTTTTCAATCCGAACCTCCACTACTGCAATTGGTCTGGCGGCACTTCCAAGATCCTCGAATTAATTTACTACTTGGGAGCACGCTTGCGCACCATGTATGCAATGAATTCAGTGAGTTTGTCCAATGCATCCAACTCATATTTCAAGCCTCCTTGCAAGAGATGTTTCAGCCCCTCCTCATATGATTGAATAATCTGACCTGCATCTTCGCCTCTACCTTTGATCTGCTCCAGTCTGCGCTGCAAACCGTTGGCAAGTGCCCGGTCACGAGCAGTCATTGGGAGCACATCGCTGCTTTTGAGGCCAAACTCGGTGGCACCCTCAACACCCCCATCACAAATCAAAGGCATAGAAGCCGATAGGCTCAGATCATCCTGCATCCAACAGCCGCCCTCTGGTCCGAAGCCATAGGTTGCGGCAATGACCAAACCCGAAGGATCAAAGTCGACCAGAAGATAAATGTCTGGGCTTCCACAGTTTTCATGCAGCTGCCGCAAGAAATACCGAGTTGGGACATCTGGGAATCCGCGGGCAGTGACAAGCACACAGGGCTTGTGCTTTTCGAGAAAGCCTTCATCGATGAGACGATGGAAAACAGTCTCCTTTTCCACCACGAAAACTTTCTGTGCCACTGTCTCCACTTTCAAATTGTGAGCAAAGATCGGAGAGATGGAATGGCCACGCGGTTCCAATGGATCCATTCCGTCCACCCACACAGAGCTAACAGCATGATCTGGTCTGGGCTCCAAAATACGCATGTGACCACGAACGAGACCCTTTGCAGTACCAACCAAACGCAAATAGTGCCGTGGCACCTCTAGCGTTTGACAAAGAAACTTCAGCAGGTCGTCACTAAGTTGTTGCCGAGAGAAAATGTTGACATGCCGATAGTATAGTTCTCGAGGTGTGGCAGTGCGGCCACTTCGAAGCAGGCCGTGAACTGAATCCATCAATGCCATGATGCGCCTGAACCGCAACCTTTGACACGAACTCCCTCTCAACAGTCTCTCCAGTTTTAAGCTCAGGGCATTTGAAGCAGGGTGGGCCCTTGCCCTAATCAAAGCTGCCGCACCGGTTGGGAGTTCTGCATGAACATCACGGCTGGCGCAAATCAGCACGTGAAGCACAGAGAGCTCCAAAGTAGCAAGCAAGCCTTGTCGTACACACTCCGGACCCCAAAGTCCCTTGATTTCTGAAGTGTTCAGAACGTTCATGGTTTTACAAGGTTTTACCAGCTTCTGCTATGAAATGTTTGAGAAGCAATGGCTTTGGGAAAGACAAGCTGTTTTCCACCTCACCTGCATGAGCAATCTCAGCTCTCAGCTTCCATGCACCGAATAGATTCTTTTCAAGGCTTGAAGAATTATTTACACTACAAAAGACATCAAAAGACATCAAAAGACATCAAAAGACATCAAAAAACCAAAGTAAAAAGCCTCATCTAGGGTGGAGCACAATCGCGGAGTCTGCTTGGCCTCACCATGGACTGAACTGCGAATTCTATCTGTGGTGTAGACCATGCAGATGAACGTGTACGAACATGTAGCCTGTGTAGCCTGTGTAGCATTGCGCCGTACATGGACAATGCCAAGGCTGCGAAGTAACAGACCACTTGCCAGACCATCCCTAGCCATCCCTCACCCGAAGCCGGAACAGGCCGCGGAACACAAGACCACCAAAGTGACTCTGGTAAGAAGCAAAAATCGCCATATGCAAACTGATGTTCATGGAGAAACCAATCAGAGCAAGCTTTCAAGCAAAACAGTCACCTAAAACCACCTGAGGAGAAAGCTTGTCATAATCAAGCAGACCCACCCAAGCACCCACAAGAGCACGGCCACATGGCTTGAAAGGAAACTGACCGACCAGCACATGTATATATGTGTCTGTGTGTGTGCATGCCATAGGACTGTAGGTTTCATGCCATTTCGAAGCAAATACCGTCTCACCTTCCTTGCATCCGTGTCCTCACGTGGTGGAAAAGGCCGTACATCCCATGCTGCCAGAAATGTTATTTTGATTAGGACCTAGCCTATAGGACATTCTCTCTGAAATCTACAGCAGTCCTGTCATCAAAGGGCCAGTCAAACAAAGATGTGCATGATCCAAGTCACTGTGAGAGCATGTGAGAGCTCTGCTCTAAAAGCAGTAAACGTAACGGAAACAAACTAAGGACTACTCAGACTACTCACGTTGGAAAAGTAAGGCTCGAACTCCAACCGTCGGCATCGTGGGCCAGTGAAGAGAACTTGGCATTCTTTGCCTTAGGATGTGGAAAGGAGCAAATTGCACGCTGTCTACGTGATGGTAAAGGTGGTACAAGTTGTTGCACAATTTTTGATGAAGTCGTTTCGCGTCAGCTTGAAGGTAGAATCTCAAACAAGACAACAAACTCAGCAAACTGAATATTATTCTCTATATTATGTAGTGGAGCGATGCCACACCTACCTAAACCTGTCAAAGTCCTGTGACGCATGCCTCAGTTTATGCAAACATGAAATGACACAGACATAGAACAACATCGCTGTTGCAAGACCTTGACATTTGGCAAGGTAACCTATCTATCTTGCAAGTGTTGCAATACTAATACGATCAAATACGTTCAAAGAAGAAACGAGTGCAACAATTAGTTCACAAACCATCTCACTGCATAGCCACCTTACTCACTTGCTCAATTTCTGGTTTACTCATTTACTCATTCACATTCACATCCACCCCTTACACTTACAACCCTTACACTCACACTCAAGCACTCACACCTACACTCCGACCCTACACTTACAAACCAATTACCAAACTCGCCAGCTGCAGAATCGCTCGTTCAATCACTCTTCACTCAGTCTTCACTCAGTCGTTCACTCACCCACTCACTCACTTACTCACTCACTCACTCACCCGCCCACCCACGCACCCACCCACTCACTCACTCTCACCCAGCTGATTCAGTCACTTGACCACAAAGATCTTCGAGAAACGTCTGTTTGCCCTCGCAAAGAACAAGTATTAAAAGGTGACATATGTATGTAAAAAAAATATAGATATATCTGTATGTATGTATGTATTTATGTATGTATGTATGTATGTATGTATCTATGTATGTACGTACGTACGTACGTATGTATGTTTGTTTGTTTGTATGTATGTTTGTATGTATGTGTGTTTGTATGTGTATATATATATATATATGTATATGCACGTATGCATGTATGCATGTATGTATGTATATGTGTGTATATGTGTATATATGTATTGTGAATGTTTCAACTGCATTTCCCACTCATGTGACATCTTGGCAGGTGACTTGGAGGGGGGCGACATTGAATCGCTCGATTCATCCGATCGCGATATCTGCATGGCCCAAGGAGGAGGGCGGGAGGGGCATCTTGAGACCAAAAAGGAACAGCAGTTGGCACGGCAACTTGGGACTGGGTTCCCCGGAAATTGGGGTAGGGATTACATAACCCCATAGGTTTCGCATTGGTAGCGGAGCCTCGGGCTGCCGCAGGGAATAACCAAATTGGTAAAACTTAATTCAGGGTGGGACATCCCGTAAAATTTTGTTGCAAGTGTTTGGAGGTACCCTTTTTGGGCTAGAACAACAAACAAGACAGAACCTTTCACCGTAGAGAGCGTACCAGAGCCATGTCTGCAGCTGATGGGGCGGACGCGCCACCTGCCGGTTCAGTTCTTCCGGCGGGCCAACTGCCTTGGCAACAGATTCCCAGCTTTGACCCTCAAACAACAGATATCCAGGTCTATGCCAGAAAGCTTCAGTTCCTGAGAGACATATGGCCTCAGGAACACCTGGCGCAATTGGCGCCACGAGCAGCTCTTCAGGTTCAAGGAGTTGCTTTTCAGAAAGTAGCACGACTGGACACCGAGAAGCTCAGGGGCGAATCAGGTGTCAAATACCTGGTGGAGTCGTTGGGGGGAAGCTGGGGAAAACTGGCAAGTGAGGAAAAATTCTCCCTTTTTGAAAAAGGCCTTCTACCATACGGTCCAAAAATCGATTCATACCTGGCTCGACATGATGCTTCCTTTGAGGACATGATGGCCAAGGGCGTCTCAATGGAGGAGGTTCAAGCCTATGTGATGATTCGACAATCCCAACTTAGCAGTGAAGATCGAAAAAGGATTGTAGTGGAAACCGAGGGAAACCTCACCTATGCCGGAGCTCGCAAGTCACTTCGACTGCTTGGGCACAGGTTCTTCCAAGACTTTCAAGACCGCACCTGCGATGTTAACATGGTGGACAACTCCGATGAGTCAGCACTCTGGACTATGGAGACGGAAGTTTTCGACGACGAAGCCATGGTTCAAGCCCTACATGATGCTGGAGATGAAGATGCAGCATGCATCATGGACTTCGAAAACACGGTGATTGAAGCAGTTCAGGAAAGTCCTGAATTGGCCTCCTGCTACCATACCTACTTGGAAGCAAGGACTCGCCTTCGAGAGAGGGCCAAGTACCGTGGGTTTTGAAGCTCTTCCACGTCCACCAAAGGAAAAGGGAAAAATGGCAAAGTTTCCATGGGCAAAGGATTTGGGGGAGCCAGGCCCAGACTCTCGCTGAGAGGATTGCCACCTCAACGTGCCGCAAATCTGGACAGGTCGGACACTGGAAGAAGGAGTGTCCACCGTTGACCAGCAAAGGAAATTCCAAGGGCAAGACGTCAGCACCGGACACGATCACCTTGGCTGAGGCATTGGTGGCTCATCCGACTGGCTTCGAAGCTTCGAAGATCCACATCGATGAGTTGCCGCACACGCTCCCGGAGAACGCGATGGACATAGGCCAGCAGGACTCTGTCAAAACAGGAGTGGGGTCTATTTTCCTTGGTGAAAGTTTTGAATCCATTCCCACCAACGAGAATTTCTTAGTTCCCAAGTATTTTCAAAAGGTCCCCTCAAAAGAGTCTCAAATGTTTAAAAATTCAGTGAAAGCTTTGATGCAACAACACTTTCAATTCACAAACAGGTGAACAAACGTGTTCAGCCAAGTCTTAAAGACCATTTGAAAGATCATTTGCAATCCTGTTGTAGGAAACATGGACGTCAGATCCTGCCAGAGACCTCCGCAGTGACTTATCACTCTGATCCATTTCTCCCACCAGACGATTTAGGGTCGGAAAGTGAGCATGTCGCGGCTTTCTACAGTATTGAAGAGAAAGCCCACGAAGCAGTCATAGACACAGGGGCTAGTCGTTCTGTTATTGGAGCTGAACTTGTGGGGGGGCTTGTGAATGGTATTGTTGAAAAGACTGGTTGGAAAATCAAAAGGGTTCCCTCCACAGTACAGTTCCGTTTTGGAAACAGTGGCACTCTTCAAATCGAATATGCAATTTGCATTCCGCGACAGCAAAAGGGATGGATCCGAGTGGAAGTCGTGCCTGGCCGGACACCGTTCCTCATTTCCAACACGGCGTTGAAGGAAATTGGTGCACTGATTGACCCACGAAATCAACAATTGAGGTTCTTGGAAACTAACGTGGTCATTCCTCTAGGTACCTTTAGAAAAAATTTGCTGCGTGATGTGGTAGCACTACTCAAGGTCGAACATTCCAAAGAAGGGAAGGAAGAGATTTACCACACAAAAGAGACAACATACGTATCATGGCACGATGACCATGTGAAGAATCTGATGAACAAGTCAAGTGATAAACACAAGGGCCTCAATTCATTTCCGCCATTTTCTCCTCCTTGTTGCATGACTGAGATGCAAAAAACCCATGTACAGAACATACCTCTTTCAAGGGACCATGCAGAGACACCAATCGTGGACCAGAAAGCCATTTTTCAGGCTCAAACGAACCATCCAGATCAACAGAACATAGTCCACGTCGGCGCCATGAGCAATCGACCCGGCATGAGTTTCCTCCAGGACGAACTCTCGGGGGAAGAGGACTCCAGCCTCACATTGAAGAGACCTACTCTCAGAAGCAAGGGAAGTTACAAGATGCCGCCCGGGATCCGAACACTGTTGGAATGGGGGCAACAGGTGATCCCAAGTGGGAAACAAGCTGGGAAAACTTTCGAGAAGGTGTTCCTGGAAGACGATGGATAGCTGATGCAGGTCAAGAACAGAAAGGGGACATCCGCATGGATGCTCAGCTTTCAGAACTACCTGAAGGCGATGTCGGATCATCGACGCCGGCATCAACTACCGGAACAAATAGCCCAGCTCAAGCAGTTGAGAAGCAAGGCGCAGCCAAAGGCAACCGCGATGGCCAGTGCCTCCAAGAGCCGTTCAGCATCGACAGCGGACGAGGACTGGGAGAAAGTGACACCCAACAAGTCCGGACACAAGAACAAGAGAGAGATCGAGGAGCCGAAGGGGAACACTCAGACCAAGATGAACATGGAGCCCAACAAGGAGAGAGTCGAGATGATTCAGACGCAGATTGCGCTGAGAGAGCTTGCCCGGGAGATGCAAGTACCAGAGGATCAGTGAGTGCGAGCAAAAGGCGCCCCAGAAAGCAAAAAGAATCCACCAGCCCACAACTGGAGCTACTAAGTGAAAGCCAGGTAACGATGTTGCATGAAGAAATTTCAAAACGAATGTTTGAGATCCAGGACAGCTTGTCTACCATCAAACAGAAACATCCAGCTGTGGCTTCAATTCACCCAGAAAAAGTCCAATACAGTCGGCCAGCTGATCTTATGGAAATTTATTGTGAAAAGGATTCCCAAATTACCGAACAAATCAATAGATGTGGGGGAAATGCATTGCGCTTCACGAAAGAGGATGGGGATTTGAACACTGAAGAAGGGGTCAACAAACTGTGGACATGGGTGGAGATGTATGAACCCAAACATATTTGGGTGGCCCCGGAATGTCGGCTTTGAGGGTTGTTCTCCAGATTCAATAGGGTGAGGAGCATACAAATCCAAAAATCCATTTTGAAACAGCGGAAACAAGACTTGTGTCATTTGACGTTGTGTAACAACCTGTACCTTCATCAGGTTGCCCATGGTCGACATTTTCACTTGGAACAACCATTTGGATCGGAGATGACCAAACAACCCCAATTACATGACGTAGTGACAGGGACGCTTCCGCTCACGCCGCCGTTAGCGGCGCTGAGGAATTTACTACTTTTTAGCATATCAGAGGAGTTTACTACTTTTCAGCATATACGGCCAGGGGTGGGATGGGGGTGGGGTGGGATGTTAACGTTCATTTGCACTTGCACACCACGTGGATGCTACGTTGCTGCTACGTGGGGCATGGGTTGGGGTGGGGTGGAATGTTAACGTTCATTTGCCCTTGCACACCACGTGGATGCTGCATTGCTGCTACGTGGGGCATGGGTTGGGGTGGGGTGGGATGTTAACGTTCATTTGCACTTGCACACCACGTGGATGCTACGTTGCTGCTATACGTGGGGCATGGGTTGGGGTGGGGTGGGATGTTAACGTTCATTTTGCACTTGCACACCACGTGGAGCTACGTTGCTGCTACGTCTACGTGGGCTGGGGTGGGGTGGGATGTTAACGTTCATTTGCACTTGCACACCACGTGGATGCTACGTTGCTGCTATGTGGGGCATGGGTTGGGGTGGGGTGGGATGTTAACGTTCATTTGCACTTGCACACCACGTGGATGCTACGTTGCTTCTACGTGGGGCATGGTTTGGGGTGGGGTGGGATGTTAACGTTCATTTGCACTTGCACACCACGTGGATGCTACGTTGCTGCTACGTCTTCGTGGGGCATGGGTTGGGGTGGGGTGGGATGTTAACGTTCATTTGCACTTGCACACCACGTGGATGCTACGTTGCTGCTATACGTGGGGCATGGGTTGGGGTGGGGTGGGATGTTAACGTCCGTTTGCACTTGCACACCACGTGGATGCTACATTGCTGCTATGTGGGGCATGGGTTGGGGTGGGGTGGGATGTTAACGTTCATTTGCACTTGCACACCACGTGGATGCTACGTTGCTGCTACGTGGGGCATGGGTTGGGGTGGGGTGTACTTACCAGGTGTACTTACTCAAACCTTGGACAGAGCATGGCAGGATTTGAAAAAGTATGTTCCATCCGAGATCACAGCAAAGGATGCAACCAGCAAAAAGGTGAATCCTGCGTTGGGGGATTGGATTTACAGCTGGATGCTGCGCCGCAACTGTAAAGGAGATGTGTGGGCAGCCATGCCAGCTCTGTTTCACCGAGACAGAGATTGCTGCAAGCCAGCTGCCAAAACGTCCAGCGCCGCTAACGGCGGCGTGACCACGCTTCCAGCTTTCTTTGACATGTGCCAGGCGGGTGGTTTAAGGACCCCAAATTCCGAATTCTTCCTCCAAAAAAGAACACAGGTGTGGACCACAAGTAGGGAAATGCACAAAATGTTGCACCGGCGAAATTGTCCTAAAAATCATGAACATCAACCCATAAAGGGGAATGTAACGGGGAAAGACCAAAAATGGATCAGGCTGTCAGCGTATGCGGCTGCACACACAGCAGTGTTTGCACGAAGGGTCGCACGCACCATACTTCGCATGAGTCAAGAATCTGAAAAACCACTTCTACTCGAAGAACTCATGGTAGGGGAAGACATAGAAATACTGGGAGGTGCACCAAAAAGGCCACTGGCACAGAACATTTTAGAGCTGCGGAAGTGTCGAAGACGGCGTGATGGCAAAGGACCCCCAACTGCTGCGGACAAGTCTGCAAATCTTGGACCCAAAGAGGGGAATGGTGACGTAGGGGCCTGGAAAGGAGTTGTTGCTTTGTTTGAGAAGGGGGTTCCTAGGGTTGGCAATTCACTCTGTTGGGTTGGTGATCCAAAGATTGAAAGATTGCAGCAACTTGTCCCCAAGGTAGATGTTCAACTGTTCATTACATGCAGGGGTACCGAACGCCATCGAGTTCCAGGAATTCAGATTAGATTAGCAGGGAAAATATTCCACTGCGGAAAACTGTATATAAGCGAACCATTGGAGAAATTGTGGACATGGGAGACTTTGAAGAATGGTGAAAACTGTCCAAAGCAAAACAAGCACGGAAAGCTGGCCGTTTGCCACAAGAGCTCTAGAGACTGGGGCGGTGGTGTTGTTTCTTTTGATTTGAGAAATGGGGAAGAAAGAGCAGTCGTCAGAAACCAAGGGCAGATAAACCCAACCTCTCCTGAGGATCCACTTATTCCGAATTCTGCTGATGGAGCAGTACAGCCGCCACAGCTTGAGATGGGAAAAGGATGGCCACCGAAGATAGTTCCCGGGCATGGGCCGGCATTCCTGCGCTTGGACCCAGACAGGACATCTGATTTACTCAGACTGCACCATAATTTGGGCCACCAAGATCCATCTCGCTTGCAGCGACTGTTAGAGGCACAGGTGCCAATCCGCAAGTCATAGCTGGGGCACTTGACATGCAATGTGATGTGTGCTTAGAACCTCAACCAAAACCCAAACTGCCTCATCCTGCAGCTATTCATGACAATCTTGATTTCAATGATGTTGTTGGTGCGGATGGGGCACATTGGGCTTCGTCTCTTGGTCAGACTTATCACGTCATGCATTTCATCGATGAAGGGACATTGTACCATACGGGTTTGTTGAGTGGAAGAAGCACCAGAAGCACGGATGAACAAATTGATACATTTGAACAGGCCTGGCTCCAATGGGCAGGACCATGTAAAACCCTTTATCTAGATCCAGCAGGGGAGTATGTGAGTCCTATGGAATCAATACCTTCAAGGGGAAGACATAAGGGTGATCCCGACACCGGCAAAATAGCCACTGGCAAATTGGGAGAGCTGAAATTCATGGTAAAATAGCCAGAGATATGCTCACCCGAATGGACTGAGAAGGCCCCATCAAGGATGTCAAAGACTTCCAAAGATGTCTTCGTCAGGTCTTTGCAGCCAAAAATTCGTTGTCTTGGGCAAGAGGTTTTACACCAGAACAAGCCCTTCTTGGAAAAGCACGAAACTTACCCGCATCACTCACCTCCGACAATGGGGTAGGAGCACATGCCCTGGCAGAGAGTGAGACCCCAGAGGGTGTTCATTTCCGTGAAAGTTTAATACGGCGAGAACAAGCTAGACGTGCTTTCATCCAGGCTGAACGATAGTGCATGTCGTCGAGCTCTACTGAGAAGGAGCCGTCCAGGCGGAGTTGATTTTGAAACTGGAGATTGGGTACTATATTGGAAAAAACTTCAGGGGAATCCCCAAGGAGCAAAAGGTAGATGGCATGGTCCAGCACAGGTCATCACGGTGGAACAAAGGAGAGTGGTATGGTTGAGCCATGGAATGGAGGGTACCTCATTCGAGCTAGCCCACAACATTTACGACCAGCATCACTAAGGAGCACAAGGCTTTGCCAAAAGATTCTGAGGGTAGGGTAATTGATGAGACTATCTCTCCCCAAACTCCAAACTTCCATGCTCTCACCGATGTTCCACCTGCGGATGATGTTTCAACATATGAACCTTCCATAGCACCCACAGAAGATCTCCGAACAAATGAAAAACCCGAACAAAAGATCTCACCGCCAGCCAGTGAGTGTCGAAGGCGAGACACCCAAACATGAGGATGAAATTCCCTCCAATTCTTTTCCAGTGTTCCAGTTCCCGGTGACGAGGATGATGATTCCTTGTGTGTGTGTGTTTGGGGATGATGTTGTGAGTGACCCTCAAGAACCTGGAATTTGGGATTGAAATAAACATACAAGACCAAGTAGACATTCCTCATAATGAAGAAGTGGCAGGAAAAGATCTTGCTGAATTCATTTTATTGGCAAGTCGGCAAAGAAGCAACGGGTGGAAGTCCAGTGGAGAAATTTAAACGACCATGTTCACCAGCTATTCAAACAAGCCAAGGCCAAGGAGGTCGGTGCTTGGCTAGAACACGGAACTGTGAAGAGACTGGCAAAAGGGTCGCTCCCTCCAAATCGAATCATGCGTTGCCGATGGATCCTGACGTGGAAACCCCCATTACCAGGATCGAAAGAGTATCGACCAAAAGCAAGGTTAGTTATTTTGGGCTTTGAGGATCCTGACATCTCTACGGTTCCAAATGATGCCCCAACTTTGAGCAAGGATGGGAAACAACTGATTTTGCAGAAAGTAGCAAGCAATAAATGGTCTTTACTCAATTTCGACATATCCACTGCATTTTTGAAAGGTGAAGGTGATGGACGTCCATTAGGCATTCACCCACCACCTGAAAACTACGATTCTTTGAAGCTCCAACCAGGAGAACAACGCGGGCTCACAGGGGATGCATATGGCCGAATAGACGGGCCACACTTGTGGTATCAGGCCTTCAAGAAATCTTTGGAAGAGCTTGGTTTTGTGTCTTGCCCCCTCAACAGCTGCGTTTTCTCCTTAGTCACGAAAGATCCGCAGTGCAAACCAATCACACGAGGTGTCCTAGGCATACATGTCGATGATGGCATATAGGGGGTGGGGACGCTTATTATTATATGAAAGTCATTGGGAGACTCCGGGATATGTATTCTTTTGGTGTTTCATTATGGGGGAGTTGATTTCTGTGGAATCCGATACCGTCAGATGAAGGACGGCAGTATTGAAATGTGCCAAAGAAGGTATGTAGAACAAATCGAACCCGTCCAAATTTTGAAACATCGACGAGCAAAAGCGGCAGTGTTTGCGCCAGATCTGCGGTTCTCTCCAGTATGCGGCTGTCCAGACCCGGCCAGATATCTGTGCCAAAGTCGGACTTCTCCAATCGGCAATTCCAAGAGCATGCATTGAAGACTTATTGGAAGCCAATCGAGTTCTGTTGGAGGCCAAAGCTCATCCAGTAATCCTTTTAATTGTCCCTATTCCCCAGGCAAGTGTCGCTTTTTGTGGTTTGTCTGATGCTTCTTTTGAGGCAAAGAAAGGGGTTTTTCATCTAGACAGGGGACCATTGTTTTTACCACGGATGGGAACATGGCCAAAAATCAACTTTCTGTGATTTGTCCAATAGCTTGGTCTAGTCGAAAGATCCCTAGCGTGGTTCGCAGTACTTTGAGTGCTGAGGCTTCAGCTTTGAGCAGATCGTTGGATAGGGCAAGCTGGCTTCGAATCATGTGGGCTTGGTTGTGTGACCCAAACATAGATTGGACGAATCCATCAGAGATTCTTCAAGGAGCTCCGTTGGCTACCATTGCGACGGTTTGCAAATCCGTTTACGACATATCAATGAAGACTTCTCTTCCAGTCTGTGAAGAGTTTCGCACCACATTGGAATGTTTGTTGGTGAGAGGGAGCAGGCAACGTTGGCTGATGCTTGACAAAGGCAATGGATGGAGGAACACCTCGAAAAGCCAGAAAAGCCATAGCTCTTGGAAAATATGCCCTGTTTGATGAATTGTCATTTGTTTGAGAGAAAAAAAAAGCTGACCGAATAGAACGTTTAAAATGGCTTTCAGAACAGGAAGCCGAGCTCCAAGGAGCCAAGATGGTCACAGAAGAAAATACTTGAAAAATCTTATGTTATTTGTTTGTTTTTGACGAGTGTGAATGTTTCAACTGCATTTCCCACTCATGTGACATCGTGGCAGGTGACTTGGAGGGCGACATTGAATCACTCGATTCATCCGATCACGATATCTGCATGGCCCAAGGAGGGCGGGAGAGGCATCTTGAGATCAAAAAGGAACAGCAGTTGGCACGGCAACTTGGGACAGGGTTCCCCGGAAATTGGGGTAGGGATTACATAACCCCAAAGGTTTCGCAATGTATATATGTATATATGTGTACATGTATATATGTATATATGTATATATGTGTACATTATATGTATATATGTGTATATGTTTATATGTGTATATGTGTAATGTGTATCTATATATATACACGTGTATGTATATATATATATATACGTATATATATATATATCGCTCTTTAGGTATGCAATATGTGCATATGTATATATATACCTATTATATACTGTATATATATACATTGTTGGGCATCCTGGAGGTGCGCAAAATCAAAAATGTGCTTTTCATTCTCATTATTGCTCTGGTATGGGAAAGCAACCCCGGACGTGCATGCAGGTCTGTCAAGGTCAGATAATAAAATGCAGGCGAGAGTGTAGAGGAATGCAGTTTGGAAGTGAATGTGCACAAAATGATGGTTCTGCACGTGCATGGGAGACTCTCACTAAAGAACTTGTCAATTCTATCCTCGAATCACTGTCATGCAGTAAGTCAGTCGACTACATTTTCACACAATCATTGCCCAATCACGCAAGTAGCCTTTACCATTAGGTTTCCTTCAGCCCGGCTTGTCTAAGCATGACTGGTACAAGTTCGCAGCAATTAGATTGTTTTCTTCCACACACTTAGTATCGACAGAGGATTATCTACCTGACTGCTTTATATATATCGTTTCGACATCATGTGTTCTTTCAAAGCGCATTTCGAACACCACTCACGCAATCACCGCAATGACTCTAGGCTGCCACGCTGCCATGCAGCAGCCTCAAAAGGCATGAAGCTGCTGACGTGGGGTGAACACTGAGCAACTAGAACAGTTTGAACATTGATGAACATCGTATTCATGTTGTATGCCCTGTTACAACTAGTTACAACTAGTTACAACTATTAAATCAAAAGGTGTAGTTGCTAAAGCCTTTAGGCCCCCAGTTCAAACCTGCAGTGACCGAGGGGACAAGCGGTAGCGGTACTGGTGAAGTAGGAAACAAATGGATACAAATGGACAACAGGAGGGATCGATCTCAGAACAAGATCCAAGGGGTGAACAAGTAACTGCAAATCTTCTTGGAAGGAATAGAATTAACAGCCTTTCTATGGTCACGGTTTCGGCAGCTTATGCAGTGGTATTCGGAAACTTATATATATTCCTGAAACTTATATTCGGAAACTAATACAGTTGCATTCGGAAACTTATATTCTACGGAAACTTATCTTCTACAACTAATACAGTTGTATTCCGAAACTAATGTTCAGGGCTTGTATTCGGAAACTTATATTCCGAAACAAAAACAGATGTATTCGGAAACTAATGACCGGAACTAATGTGGTGTCCAGAAAGGATGCAATTCTGATGTTTAGTTGATCAATGTGACTATGCATATATTTGCTCAACAGGGTGGCAATTTTACAGTGTTACAATCTAAGTATGAACGTTTTTGCAGAGGGGGTGGCACTTTTGTGTTGCTAGTTGACACATGTGACTATGCATGTATCTGCCAGAAGGGATGGCAATTTTGATTTGTTCTGGTGGAAAAAGGAACGTGTTGTTGTTAGTTAAAAAGACTATGCATGTATTTGCCAGACGTGGTGGTAATTTTGATGTGTTCTGGTGTAAATATGAATGTGTTGTCCAGAGTCCAGAAGGGGTGGCAAGTTTGTTTTGTTAGTTGACAAGACTATGCATGTATTTGCCAGAGGGGGTGGCAAGTTTGATTTGTTCTGGTGGAAATAGGATGAAATAGGAACGTGTTGTCCAGAGTGGGGGGGGCCTGTTTGTTTTGTTAGTTAATAACAAGAATACGCATGTATTTGCCAGAGGGGGTGGCAATTTTGAATTGTCTTTAGTGTAAACATGAACGTGTGGTCCAAAAAAGTCGCAAGTTTATTTTGTTAGTTGACAAATGTGACTAATTATGCATGTAGTTGCCAGTGTAAGTATGAACGTGTTGTCCAAAAAACGGGAAGCAATTCTGATGGTTAGTTAATCAATGTGAATGCACATATATTTGCCAGAGGGGGTGGCAATTTTGATGTGTCAGTTGAGGGGAGGATTAAGACATGGCTCATGCATGTACTGTCTCATTTGTTTCTGCTTGACGAATCATTTGTTTCTGCATAATAGTTACTGAATCCGACTTTATTAGTTTCTGAATCCAAAATCTTTAGTCTCTGAATCCGAAGGAATTAGTTGCTGAATCTGACGATATTTGTTTCTGAATCATTAGTTTCTGAATCGAACACATTGGTTTCTGAATCGGATTAGTTGCTGAATCTGACCACATTTGTTGCTGAATCCGACCATATTAGTTGCTGAATCCGACCAAATAAGTTGCGAAATAATTAGTTGCTGAATCCACACAAGTTGCTGAATCCAAATTTGTTCGCCTTTTTCTATGCCTTACCATTTCGCAAATACAAGATCAAAATCCCAAGACTCTCTTATCTCTCTGCTTATCTCATTCTTACGAATACATATTGCAGAAGTCTGTTTGGCCCAAGCCTGGGTAGGGTGCACAATTCGCTGCATCTCTCACCTTCAAGTAGGGGCAAGTTGGGGTGGCATCTTGTTGTAAGGAGATTCTAGACAACGCACTAGACTTCCAGGTCTAGTATTTTGTCAAAAGTGTCCAACATTTGTCTTGCCTGAAAGTTTCCGCAGTCTTCACTGATAAGAGGGCAGGAAATCAATGACCCAATTAAGCACGCATCTTAGGCTGCGGATTGCATAAACATCTGGCAGATTCTGGCAATAAAGAGTAAGCATTGTAAGCATACGTAAACACCATCGATAAACTTCCAGCCTTGGGAGCCGCATGCCAGGGGTGCTCCCTTTGTTTACCCCCTACAGTGGAGTTGATGTTGTCCAATCCTATCTTTGCACCTTGGTGTTCACCGTACCCTGCTTCTTGCTTGGTAAGTACAGAGTAAGCTGCTAAGTGTCACAGGATGTCACAGGTGTCACAGGGGCTCAAGGGCCACATGGCTTCATTACACTCCATGCTCTGCTGCTGAAGAGTTGAAACATTGTGGAAACTGTCTCTGGAATTCTCTAGATATCTCTACAAGACTCGACAACTTTTGAAACCTTCTCACCTAATGCTTTTGAGGAGCATGTGTCCCATATCCCTCAGCTATTGATGGCTGCTGACCATGGATCCATGAGCACTCGTTTGTAAAATCACTCACAGTAATGACAGCAACGGTGGATCAGCCTTCAGCAATTCAATGAGAATGTCTTGATTGATGACTAGTTACATGACTAGTTACATGACTAGTTACATTCATGTACAAGTTCATGCTTCTCGGATTTTCCAGAGGGCAGCCAATCTTTTATCGGCTCGTCCATGTCCCGAGAGAGTTCATAGAGGCAAATGGCCGATGCATGGGCCACGTTCAGAGACTCTCCCTGGCGTGAAGGCACCTGAAAATGACAGTTAAAAAGAAAAAGATGCGTGTATACTATATACCAGCGACCGAAGCTTTCTTCAACGAGACAAAAGCTGAATGATGCCAACCATCTTTGATCTTTGTAGGAAATGACTCCTGACACTTTGCAGGCTCAGAAGCCAATGTTGATTTGTATTTTGCTCTCTCTTAGTCAGAGAAGTAGTCCCACTTCAGATTTGTTAGCTTCTAGATCTACGTCCAAAGGCACAGCAACACAAACATAATCAAAAATACACCTTTTGCGTTCAGGTCCTGTCAAGTCTTGCGTTTTCAACTGAAGGGAACTTGGTCCGCTACGCAGATCCGAACGTCGCTCAAAGCTATGGACTCCTTGGACACTCCATGGTGCTCGTGGCCAACAATCAAGGCCCACCGCCTGGCAGATCTTTTCGCCAGAAATGAGAGATGGTGAGGGTCACGTTTTAACAGTTTTAATCCTCTTCTCTGTTTCCTTGCGTTGTTTTCCTATTTTTCAAGTTCGAGACAAGCAAAAATGATGGGTATCTTAGGTATCTTCTGTTATAGTCTGCTTCATCAGAACAGTTTCGTCATTGGCTCAGATTCAAAGTAGCAAGTCTGCGTTGCACGGTTGTTCGGTTTATCTAAACAAATGGCATACACATGGCTTGACCTGAACATGTCTTTCTGCCGCACCCTCTTTGGCACTTGTCAACCAAATTGAAGGGTTGGGTTCACTTGAGACTAAACCTGCAGCGCATCCATCCAGCATAGGAGCATTGAGAAAGTGTCCATGATTTACATCAACGGTACTCAGGTTGGTCGAACAGGCAGGAATTTACTTAGAAATCAAGCCAATTCTGGCCAGGCAAACTCTAGATACTAGTCGAACTAATTTCAACCATTCAGTTTTTTTTTGTGTCGCAGGCTCTAGGATTGTAAAGCTCAACCGCTCAACCACAGCAATAGGACGGGACAATCAGACGCGTCGACCCATGGGTATCGGTATTGTGGATTCCATCTCCATGGAGCTGTGCAGCCAGCTGATTACATTGGAGTGAAGAACACAATTGCAACAGTGAAATGCAGTTTGGCCAGACATTCTGAGATGCAAAGTGGCAAGGCTCTTTTCCCTTTGCTTATCCCTGAGCTTTCCTGCTCTAGAAATAACACGTTTGAATGTTTGATTAAGTAATAAGTAAGATTGAAATGTTTTTGGACACTTTGAAACCGTCGACCCAGACCTGGCCCCAGACCCGGACCCAGACCTGGCATTTGCATGATGTTTGCATTTGCAAGCATAGCTCCATGATGCTCCATGAGAGTGGAACTTTCGCGCACATTGCAAGACTTTTTGCAGACGTCCTTCATGTTTGCAAAGTAATTATGTAAGGATTTGAGGGCGAGAGCTTGACAAAGGTTGTATTTATTGTAGCGATTACTTGTAAGTCATCTCACTGTACAGCTGGTTGCATTTTGAGCAATTTACATGTAGCGTCTATCAAGGGTATCTCGTTTGCACAGAAACGGCATGCGGGCATTGCTGCAGGGAGTGTGCAGAGTTTGTTGCTCTTGTTAGCAGCACATTGGAGCTGGAATTTGCGGAGCGAGTCTACATTGATGCCATTTTGGTAAGGGTGCCGTCTTTGCAGATAAATTCGCAGCATGCAGTAGCACGAACTTTTGAAACGTATTAACACTTTGATTTAGGCAGGAATCTTGCCACCTCGGACAAGGCAGAAGCAAAAAGCTCGTCTTCCTAGGCTGCAACCAGGGGTATCGCAATTGACCAGAAGGATCCACAATCAGCCACTCAAATCACAAAAAGGGACCTGGACATCCTAGACTACAACATTGGACTCAAGAACTCCACAAAGCCACTAAGAAGATAGGCAAGCATTACGAGCCATGAAACCGACAGCCAAATTCAGCCGCAAATTACAGAGGTGGCAGAGACAAAGTCAAGCTGAGGGCAGACAGATGCAAATGACGCAAGACAAATGAAACAAGAAAAATCGAATACGGCGTATTAGAATGTAATTATAGCATACACATTGTACAACACGAACTCAATAGAAACGAATGCACAAGGTCCTGAAGATTGCGAACGATTAAAGTAAAGTCAAATTGCCCGCTTCGAAATGCTTAGTTCGAACACTTCTGTCCAAGGAAGATGACAGTCGTGTGTTCCACGTCACTGCTCCTACTTTGACCCAGCCGCTCCTGTCACCCGGTTCATGCGGCTTGACAGCTTCAGCAAAGTGATCTTCAGCACAGTAGATTCGACAACCGCGCTGTCGCAACTGCTTCAGCGCATCCTAGGCAGCCATAAATCAAGCAAATGCCAACAAGCAATTGCAAGAAACAGCAAGGAAACATATACATGTACAGAGCATTGAAGACCTTTATGTCCGAACAAATGAAGAGGATGGATGGACGAATAGACTTAGACAAATAAGACGCAGCCCAGTGAAAGGATGGATCCATGGTTGTGCATGTGCAAGGATTGGGAATTCATGGATAATGAATACATATACAGATATATACAGACAAATAACATGGTAAAGGGATGGAAAATGGATAAAGTGCTGTCAATGAGTGCAGGAATTGGACATTTGATTTGAGATTTAAGACCTTTCCAAGAAGGGCCAGTAGATGACAGCAGCTTTTGGTCGGAAAGGAAATCCAGCCCAGCAATTTCCAGCGTGAAGGCTCTTTCTATAAGGGCGCATGTGGATATTTTAGATTAGTTCAACGTCCATGTGTCCAGTCTCAAAGCGGAGAATGGCTGTAAAGCACCTATCTATCTATCTATCTATCTATCTATCTATCTATCTATCTATCTATCTATCTATCTATCTATCTATCTATCTATCTATCTATCTATCTATGTGTGTGTAGAAGTAAAAACAAAAGCTGAACGACACAGCACTCAAACTTGAAGCACAAGGGGCACTCATGGGCTCTCCCAAAAACAGGTCCATAAAGTATAGCCTATCAGAGGGTCTTGAAAAAGTGCCACATGTTTTGAAGAAACAAATGAACTGCGCAGGCGCAAAGAGAACAGACTCAAAACAAAAAAAATGAAAATGTTGCTGTAAACGCGAGACCGCTTCATCCTATCAATCTATATACAGTCAGCGTCTGTTTCTGTGAGTGGAAGAGGTTGGTTGGAGCCGGCATCTATCTCCCAGCAGTTTTGTAGCACTGAAACCAGCCCACTGTTCATTCGCACCATCCCATGGACACTCTGCAAGCACGGCCACCAAGGTTGTTCCAAACTGAGCGCCTAGGATGGTCAGTTCAACACTAAAAAAATAAAAATAAAAAACGCATTTGCCAACTATTGACATATATGACATGACAATATCATGTTTGGTCTCTGTGCGATCTAGTGATTAACTTCAATGTTCTGCGTGGACAAAAGAAAATCCATCATTTGGCCTTGAAATTCAAACTGAAGAGAAGAGGTGGCCGCAGTACAGGATGTCACACAATCTGTAGATGTGCCCATGTTCTGGTCCTTTGTTTTACTCCCAATATCAAGTGGCGGTGGGTTCAGGTCCAAAAGAAAGTGGGATCATGACCTGTCTGAAAGTTTTGAAAATCTAAGTTTTTGCTAAGGGTCGATGCCAAAACTGACGTTACACCTGAGAACAGACTAAAGGCAGCCGTGCACAGGATGATCCTACTGTTTTCATAATGTTCTCGTGGCAAATTTGGCATCACAAACCAGACATTATCAAAACGCATTGACTTTGCAACATGGACGACCTTGCATCCATGATATGAATTTCAGCCTGCTGAGTCAGTGTGATGACTGCAATTGGGGCGAAAATGCTGAAGGTGGTGTTTGGAGCCGTAAATCCGCCGACCCCTGCCGCTAGCAGGGGGAGCGCGTCAGAGAAGAGGGGAGCAAAGGGAAAGCTGCAAGTTTCAAGAGTAAGGGAAACTAAAGAAAGAGTAGCGTGCAAGACAGAAGCAGCAGTAGCAAAGCGAAAACAGCAAGAGAAGGGGAAGATAGCAAGTCGCAAAAGGCACAGGCAGGCAGAAAGCAAGAAGTAAGGGAAAGCAAAGAAAGAGGAGCAAAGGGAAAACAGCAAGCTGCAAGAGAAAGCAAGCCAGTTGCAAGAGTAAGGGAAAGATAGCAGGTCGCAAAAAGATGCAAAAAGCACAGGCAGGGCAGGAAGAAAGCAAGAAGGCAAAAGACAAGACGGACAAGCAAGCAAGTTGCAAGAGGAAGGAAAAGCAAACACAAAGTTGCAAAGGGAAAACCGCAAGCTGCAGGAGCAAGCAAGCCAGTTGCTTGGCAGCTGAACGTTGCGAGCTGCAGCTTGGAGCTAGTTTCTAGTCAATTCAGAAAGCAACGTTAGGCACCAGCAGCGGCAGGCCGAGGCCACAATCCGTCCTTCAGTGCCAGTGTGGCGAGGGGTCCGTTTTGAGGCCTGAGAGCTAAAGTTTGGAGCTAGCTTCTAGTCATTTCAGAAAGCGACGTTGGGCACCAACAGCTGCCGAGGTCGCAATCCGTCCTTCAGGCAGTTCAGAAAGCAACGTTTGGCACTATGGGCTGCCGGCCGCGGGCCCGATCCGTCCTTCACTGCCTTTGTGTTTTGGCCCTGCAGGAGGGTCCTTTGACCGGAGCTATGGAGGACGAAAGCTAGCTGCAAGAGGACAGAAGCAAGTTGGAAGCTGGCAGTGCAGGAAGGCAAGCAAATGGAACGAACCTTTGAAGCTAGTTTCGAGGCAGTTCAGAAAGCAACGTTTGGCACTATGGGCTGCCGGCCCCGGGCCCGATCGGTCCTTCACTGCCATGGTGTTTTGGCCCTGCGGGAGATCCTTTGACCGGGACGAAAGCCAGCTGCAAGAGGACGCAAGCAAGTTGGAAGCTGGCAGTGCAGGAAGGCAAGCAAATGGAAGCTTTGAAGCTAGCTTCTAGGCAGTTCAGAAAGCACCGTTTTGCACTCTGCCGGCCGCGGGCCCGATCCGTCCTTCACTGCCATTGTGGCCCTGCGGGAGAGTCCTTTGACCGGAGCTATGCAGGACGAAAGCCAGCTGCAAGAGGACGCAAGCAAGTTGGAAGCTTGCAGTGGAGGAATAAGCTTTGAAACTAGTTTCTAGTATAGGCAGTTCAGGAAGCAACGTTTGGCACCCTGCCGGCCGCGGGCCCGATCCGTCCTTCACTGCCATGGTGTTTTGGCCCTGCGGCAGGGTCCTTTGACCGGAGCTATGCAGGACGAAAGCCAGCTGCAAGAGGAGTTGGAAGCTGGCAGTGCAGGAAAGCAAGCAAATGGAACCTTTGAAGCTAGTAGCAAGCTCCAAGAGGAAGCGAGCCAGTTGCAAGAATAAGGGAAAGATAGGAAGTCGCAAAAGGCACAGGCAGGAAGAAAGCAAGAAGGCAAAAGACAACAGACAGGAAGAAAGCAAGAAGGCAAAAGACAAGACAGACAAGCAAGCAAGTTGCAAGAGGAAGGAAAAGCAAAGACAAAGTTGCAAAGGGAAAACCGCAAGCTGCAAGAGCAAGCAAGCCAGTTGCAAGGGTAAGGGAAAGCAAAAAGGCAAGCAAGCAAATGGCAAGAGTGAGCCTTGGCAGCTGAACGTTTCGAGCTGCAGCTTGGAGCTAGTTTCTAGTCAATTCAGAAAGCGGCGTTACACAATCCGTCCTTCAGTGCCATGCTATTTCGGTGTGGTATTGAAGGGGCTGACGCCCAACAGCGGGCCAGCAGGCCAAAATTTGCAGGGTAGCCAGCGGCGGCTCCGCCAGGAGGCTCTGTGTACTGCGCCTGCCACAGGAAAGGCAGCCGTGGGCCAGCCGCGGCCACGCGCCTCCAGGAGGCTCTGTGTACTGCGCCTGCCACACGAGTGGTGTGATGAGTGAGATGTGATATTATAAGTGGTGCAGTGATAAGTCGTGTGTGATGAGTGACACGACAGGCAGCCGCGGGCCAGCGGCGGCCACGCGCGCCGCAGCTTGTCCAGGAAGCTCTGTGTACTGCACCTGCCACACGAAAGGCAGCCGCGGGCCAGGAGGCTCTATACTGCGCCTGCCACACGCGTGGTGTCATGAGTGAGATGTGAGCAGTGGTGTAGTGATGAGTGGGATCTTGATGAGTGAGATGTGAAAAGTGGTGCAGTGATGAGTGGTGTGTGGTGAGTGACACGAAGGCAGCCGCGGGCCAGCGGCGGCCACGCGCGCCGCAGCTTGTCCAGGAAGCTGTGTGTACTGCGCCTGCCACACGAAAGGCAGCCGCGGGCCAGCGGCGGCCTCGTGCCATGAAAGGCAGCCGCGGGCCAGCAGCGGCCAGGGCTCTGCGTACTGCGCCTGCCACACGACGCAGCTCCTCCAGGAGGCTCTGTGTACTGCGCCAGCCACACGAGTGGTGCGATGAGTGAGATGTGATAAGTGCATGGTGCAGTGATGAGTGGTGTGTGATGAGTGACACGACAGGCAGCCGCGGGCCAGCGGCGTCCACGCGCGCTGCAGCTTGTCCAGGAAGCTCTGTGTATTGCGCCTGCCACACGAAAGGCAGCCAGGAAACTCTGTGTACTGGGCCTGCCACACGAAAGGCAGCCGCGGGCCAGGAAGCTCTGTGTACTGCACCTGCCACACGCATGGTGTGATGAGTGAGATGTGAGAAGTGGTGTAGTGATGAGTGCACCTGCCACACGCGTGGTGTGATGAGTGAGATGTGAGAAGTGGTGTAGTGATGAGTGGTGTGATGAGTGAAATGTGATAAGTGGTGCAGTGATGAGTGGTGTGTGATGAGTGACACGAAAGGCAGCCGCGGGCCAGCGGCGGCCACGCGCGCCGCAGCTTGTCCAGGAAGCTGTGTGTACTGCGCCTGCCACACGAAAGGCAGCCAGGAAGCTCTGTGTACTGCGCCTGCCACATGAAAGGGAGCTGTGATGAGTTGCGATGAGAAGTGGAGTTATGAGAAGTGGAGCTGTGATGGGTTGTGGTGTGATGAGTTGTGGGATGAAGCGGCGCGGCGGGAGCGGGAACAGGAGCGGCGGGATCCAAGCGAAAAACAAGAACCCCACACAGTGATGTGGGGAAAAAGAGCCGTTTTGACACATTTTTCGGACGATGTTTTAGTTTTTCGAAATTCACAAAATGCTGTAAATTACAGCCAGCATTTTTGCGTTTTAACGTCTTTTGCGGGAACATGCAAAACGCAGAAAATGTTGTAAATACGAATGCTTTTTGGACCAGAGATGCACAAAACACGGCAAATACCAATGCTTTTTGAAGGCAAAGCAAAAAACAATGTAGTGTTTTATCCACTTTCGGGGACTAAAACTTTGGTATTTACGTGGGTTCTTGCCATCTGACAGCGCGAAATGCTGTAAATTAGCGCACTTTTTGTGCGCTGTTTCTGTTCAATTTTTAAACGAGCGATGCTTTCACATGTTCTTGGCATTCTTCAACAAGAAACGATGTTACAGATTGAAACTAGACGACAGTGTGGCCCGAAAGAAAGCTGGAGGGAGGAGACGCACAGAAGCTTTTACACACACAGGGGCTTTTACACAGAGAAGTCTTTACACAGAGGAGCTCCACACACACACAGAAGGTCTTACACAGAGAAGTCTTTACTCTAAGGAGCTTTTGCACACAAACGCCTAGGAGCTTTTACACACAGAAGTTTTTACACGAAGAAGTCTTTACACAGAGGGTTTTTTACACACAGACGCGTTTGCACACAGAAGATTTTACACACAGAAGCCTTTACACAGAGGAGCTTTTACACACAAAAGCGTTTATACACAGCAAGCTTTTACACACACAGGGGCTTTTACACAGAGAAGTCTTTACACAGAGGAGCTTTTTACACACAGAAGGTTCTACACAGAGAAGTCTTTACTCTTAAGGAGCTTTTGCACACAAACGTCTAGGAGCTTTTACACACAGAAACTTTTACACAGAGAAGCCTTTACACAGAGAGTTTTTACACACGGAAGCTTTTACACACAGAGAAATTTTTACACAGACGCGCTTTCACACAGAGAAGCTTTCACACACAGAAGCTTTACACAAAGAAGTCTTTACACAGAGTTTTTACACACTGAAACTTTTACACACAAAAGCTTTTACGCAGAGAAGTCTTCACACAGAGGCGCCTTTACACGAAGTAACAAGTTGAAATTGGCAGCAATTCTTTAGGAAAAACCCTTCGCAGGAGCTTTCGGGAACTCACTTGCTCCCAAAAAAAACGTCTATTTCCAACAAAGTTCCTATTCCATGAATATGTTCCAAAAAACATAAGGAATATAGTTCTGAAGCAGGTCCTCATTCAATAGCTTTCAAGCCCACTCTGCGATGAAATGGAGGGTCGAGTAATCCGGCGGAGCCGACGATGAGCGTGAGCTTAAAAACATTCCCCTCAACTTAGGCCACCAAACCTGCACAAGACTATCAGACTACTGTATTCCTTGATTCCGGTCAATTACTTTGAGCTTCTGTTTCCTAGAAGTCCATAATTGTGTTGCTGCATGCAATTTTCAATAGGACAAGGTTTGTCTGTGCGTATCAGCATGGAACGCATCATCAAGCGCAAAGTCAAACAATGCTCCTATCAGTCCAAAATTGCGATGGCCTACCCACATACTGTCAATGCCTCACCCTTGGCTCTGTGGATTTTGATTATCCATCCAACTACTTCCAACCTTTTTTTTCCCTACCTCCTGGCTTCGTTCTTTCATCATTCCTTTCTCCACCCCACAGACCTGTTGGAGTCGCATTCCATCATACTACCAGAAAATACACTCGAAGCGATCATGGTACTCTGAGCGCTCATTCGCTTCTGCCAGCTTGAGTGCGATCTACCTCCAAAGCAAAAGATTTAGGTTGTGTGTCTCCATCAGCACCCGGTATTTGCACACACCAAGTTACCCAAGTGAAAAGCAGTGCGGAGAATTTGACCGATGTTCTGGGCAGCACCCAAGCCATCAAGTACAAGCACGGGAAGCCTGCAATCAAGTGTGGATAGAGTTTCAATGATTTGATTGGCTGACGGGACTCACTCTGCAGTACTTTCTGAGCAAGCTATCAGAAATAGTCGGGACGGACCTTGCCAAATCAAGAGGCTGCGGAATGGGATATGCAACCACGTAATTCACTGAGCCTCGGATTCAAAGCCAGGCACTCTAGCAATGGGGCTGGGTCATTTCCTTGAACCTGTAAAATTTGTACAATGTTGTTTGTTCGTATCCTTCAAAATAATGCATCCATTTCATGAGCTTTGCAATTCTGCCCTTGGGGCTTGCGACTGCACAAGAAGCAAGGAGCACAGATTTGAGGTGCAAGCATCATGATCACGGCCAGGGAACGTCTTTGTGTGGTACCTTCAAAGGCAAACTCCGCCTGACATGCAACCCGGCAAAAAAAAGCTCCTAATGAGTCCCTGGCGCATCTAAGACGCTAAGGCCTGCATAGAAGTAATGTGAGGAACAAACTGCAAAACTCTGCAAGCAACAATATCCCAGAAGGGTGAAGGCTGTGCAGCGCTTGAAAGGAACCGCAAAATTGAACCATTCTCTTCGCACCGACTCTCCAGAACTGCTGCCACGCTAACAGTACCATAATTAAGTTGGTTAATCTAAACGTGCTTGCAGAGATGCTGAGTAAACCCTTGTCACCCTCTTGAATCGACTCAATGCGTCCAATTCTCCAGTCTCCCCGAATCATCGGTCCTCAATCAATGCACGATCCTAAGGTCCAAAAGCATCAGAGACAATTTCACCCTATTACAAGTCCAAAGTCAAACATCTGCACTGAATCTGCAATGGCAGAACACAGCTAACATAATGGTGTGCAAGTTGGCACAAAATTGAGGTCACACCATGGACAGTAGATTTTAAGATTAATGATAGCAAACCGTTTTACCAGCACTAATCTACCCCAACAAAGCAACTCCGGAAGCTGTTGGGCCAGAATCAGTTCAAAAAGGGGTGATGCAAGTTTATGGTATATTCTTTTGTTTTCTGGTGTGGGGCGTGCTTGAAATTTGCGGCGTTGTGCTTCGCGGCACCTCATTTTGTACGATAACCGAACTTCACACTAGACCATAAAATGGCTATAACATGCTATAATGATGAAACCCAAACATGCCACGCTAAAAAACCCAATCCACAGTAGGAAGGGCATCTAAAAATAAAACCCGACCCAGCCAGGTACCAAATCAAAAAAAATAAAGCTGCAGTTCACCAAAGAATCAGTGAGTAGATCTCGCCCATATAGACACGAACCCCAGTTCTTGGAGGATCATCTCAAAACGAAACTGGTTGATAGCCAAAGCCATGGTTGATAGTCCCCCAACTGCAGCGGCCGGCGTGTGAAGCAACCCCGAAAAACCATGCAGTCAGGATGCACATCCAGGATGCACATCTCATCTATATAATGTCTACAACAATTATTCATAAAAAAATAAATAAATCAGGAAGGGTCAGCCATGTCTATGCAGTGGGCAACAACCACAAAGTGTCGATAAAAAACGGTTTTATAGTTGAAACCAAAGGTAGAGGGAATTCCAAGGAGGTGGAAAATGCATTTCTTTTTGGAGCTGTAATCCGTTCTGCATTGTAAAGTCACTAGTTGAACGGTTGGACATCTCATTTTGCATAGTGAACAATGCAAAATTTTGGAGCTAGGTCCTGTCCTTTTGCATAAATCCCTTCCATAGTTGGCGCGTGGATTTCATGACGGTCGAACACACATTCGCTGTATTCGCTTGGCTGCGAGATCTGAAAGTGCTTCTGTTGCTTTTGCTGCAGCTATCACCGCTGGCCGTGCTGCGTTGCTGATTCGGTGGCAGTACTTTGGAATGGTGAAGGGCAGAGGCCAAGAAGCAGCCAAGAATGTCAGCTGAGAATCCATACGCACATGGCACACGCTAAGAGCAAGGCCAAGCAAAAAGGCAGGATCCTGACAAAGCCTAGAAAGCCAAAAGGCAAAAAAACTAATCAGAAGACTGGGATAGGACCAGCCTCGGAACCATGACGTAACTGTTGACCTTTTAGAAATTGCAAAGTCAATTCCAAGAATATCAATGATTGAGAAAGAGTTTGGGCATCCATGGGTGGGCACATGACACGCTCATGCCCAATGATGTTCAAGGGGCGCAATAGGGCACATCAGCGACGACAACTGTCCAGTTCGCAAACTACCCGCGTAGGGGGTTGTTTCAGCGCCCTTTTTTGTGCGTGTGATAGACGACTGATACAAGCAGTCCCACAGTTGTCCGCTTGGTGCGTTCCTGCTGCGAATATTGTGCAAGGAGCTGCTTTGTGTTGAAGAACTGACGCTTCTTTCGACATCTTTGGAAAAGAATGTGAAATGCATGGCAACATTGCAATATCCCAGCATTCAATCCAAAACCTCTTCCCTTCGCACACACTTCACTGCGCCCCTACATATTGCCGTCATTGTGACAGTCTTGGGTTGAAAAGGATAGACTCCAGGAGATTGGGGCGCAGCTCGTGGCAGATTGGTCAAGCAAAAATCGAGCAATGCAGCTTGAGACCCAGAGTTGTGCGCAACATGGCCTAACATGCAAGAGCTGATATTTCCAAGGTATACAATCTCAGTGCTTGCATCTGCCCCGCATTGTCGGTTTTCATGTACAGCTGTGAATGACTCAAAGCCTATATTTATTGGAAAATGCAGAAATCGAGTTTGTACTTAAAGTCAGCTCAATTGACAGTACCACCGACTTGGCTTTTCCAACAAAACCACCGTATCCATGTTAAGCAGCATGAAATATTGTGTCACATAGAAATACCTGGTTGTTGTCAAAAGAGGCAAGTGTGAAACAAATGTTGGCAATGTCTCCGAATGTCTCCACGCATTTGTGTGCTTTTGATTTCTTCGACAGAACATGTCCACCAGAGTCAAAAGCCAACCAATTCCAGGCGCGCATTTACAGTACTCATGGTACTGATTCTACTAACGTATACGGCAGGGATCGGCAATGAAGATGTGCTCACAGCATTGGCCTGCCAGCCGCTTCAGCTCATCATCCACATCGCTGCTCAAGAGGATTGAATCCACCTCGCAACACAAGTAAACACAAGTAAACGAAAGCGTTCGAAGAAGGTGAGAGGGTGAAGAGATGGGGACCAAGGACGGGGCAAACCAAGCATTTGAAGGTCACAAATCAAAGATTGATACCAACACACTCCAACATTGTGACATTGTACGGTGCGGGTAAAGAAAAAAACAAACCTGTTGCCACAAACTCCTTCTCAAATCTCTTTGAGAGGATCCATTGCAACTTCCCGGGCTAGCAAAGTGTTCATGCAAAGGGTTTCCTTTAAATCTGGAAGGTTGCCTCAGAGGTGTCCCATGTTTCCAACTGTCCGCAAGTCCGGAATGGTGCAAACGCAGAGCGTTGTACCCTTGTCGAAATCTGCAAAACATGTCATTTTGCAGATACGTCAAAGTGTGAAAAACAGAGAAAATAGCACGAGTAGAGGTGACTTTTTGCCCGCCGAAAGTTTGCGCGGTAGCAGCAATACTTTGACGTGGTTTCGCGAAACAAAATTGTTTTTACGCAGCAAGTGCAGCACTTGAGCAGGGTCAGAGTAACATTTTGCTTGGCAATCACATTACTTTGGACGTGTCGTGTTTCAAGTTTTTGCGGCAGTGGAATTGTTTCGTCAACAGAATCTGGGACTGCAACATGGCAGGCACATTACATCCTGATAGAGAGGTACTTTAAGTGTACGGAATGTGACTTTGAACGGCAGGCATGGAACTTGACACGTGTTTCTCAAAAGACGATCTCCCAGAAGTGTCACACTAGAGCGTCTCACAACAGCACCCCACAAGGCTGTCCCAAAAAAGTGTCACGAACATGCTAGAAGAGTGCGTTACAAGACCTTACCAGAATGCCATACGAGAACGTCTTACTACAAGAATGTTTCATGTTTGTTTGTTTGTTTGTTTGTTTGTTTGTTGATTTCATCTCAACAGCATGCTCGTTTTTGTTTCATCAAAGGAAGTTTAGTTAGCAAATTTCCGAGTCACGGACGAATGGTCACGGTTAGCCTTCCCACCATCATGTCTACCAGGTCTACCACATCATCAGGTAGCGGGGAAGTGAAGCAGCCTGTCACATAGGCGTCGCTAAGGTCAGGTCTATGTTTCCGCGGTTGCGGGACTTGATCTGGAAAAACTATCGCAAAAAAACGCACGAGATTGTAGCTCAGAATGTTAAAAACCAAGGCGCGCAAGATGCGGTCGGAAAAAACGCGCAAAACGTCTGCGAGAGCTCGATTTCACAAAAGAATGTCCAAAAACTGGGGCGTCAGGAGCAGCGCCGGATTTGTGCGTGGGCGATTTCAAGTCTGAAACCGTATCGATTCGATGGCGCATCCGTGCTATGCAAGTTTGAAACTAGCTGTGACCAGACTAAACGACGCTCCTGCTTTGCGGGGTTGCAGCTGGAGGTTGCTAAACACATCGTAACAGGTGCGAAAATGACACTTTTGAGCAAAATGCAACTCTTGTTGCTATGCGGGGTTGCAGCTGGAGGGTTGCAGAGGCTACAGAAGTTCAGCGAAGAAGTGGCTGAAAGAGGATGGTGCCTCAGACCAGGAACGGGTCAGAGAAGAAAGAGCCCAGAGAAGAGACAGCTCTCAGAAGAAGTAGCTGAGAGAAGAGGCCCCTCAGTGCTGAGGCCTGGATGCGACGAATGGACCGATCTGTCAGCCTGGTACAGCTTCAGCTGGCCAAGAACTGCACAGGGCTGTGGCAATTTGTCCATTTTGCATGTCCGAATGCACCGTTTCGATCCGACATGGCCGCAACAATTCATTCATTCATTCATTCATTCGTTCGTTCGTTC